TCTGTTTTGTTAACTAGTTTATTTACTGTGTCTATGTTTAGCCGTTGCCGGTTCCTATATGTTTTTACTGTTTGTACTTTTCGTTGATCTGTGGTCCTTTTTTTGGCCTGTCCTTCTTGTGAAGAAGTACTAGCATTTTCAGTATGATGTATGTTCAGCATTTTTCAGCTTTTATGATGTTATCTTTCTGCATATGACAAACTGGATTTATTTATCAGTTTTTGTAAACAATAGAGAAAGTTTATACTGTTATTTCGTCCGGTTTCCGCCGTGAATGCGGCGGCTTTATGAAAGGATTCCGGGTCAGTGTGTAAACATAAAACATTAACCAATCACTGATGATGGAGGAAGGCCGAACGTTCTGCAGACCAAAACAGCGTGGATAGACAGAACAAAATGATCGGAAAGGACGAAACTACGGGTTCATCACCCTCCAGACCCAGACATCTAAAAAAAGTTACACCTTCACAGGTTCTAATCATCCTGTTTGCATATTCGTCTGTGCGTTATTTTATCAATTGAACAAATGCACCACTGAAGATAGCGAAATGCCCAAAGTTAACGACGATAATCACGGGTTCAGTGCCTTCCATACCTAAGAATAAAACTTACAATTAAATGCTAATTGATAGTTATTAAAGTTCAAAAAGGTTGTTTCTATTTGCATTTCTATTAAATGTCTTCCTGTGGATTGTGACAAACCCTCGACTAATGACGGAAGTCATAAACAAGGTTAAATAAAAAAAGGTCTCAAAAGGAAAAAATTCGCCGTCCTCATATTACAAAGGGTCGGCCCGCTTGATTAAGAAGTGCGATAAGAACGTGTCCAACATTGTGGGATCTTAAGAAGGGCTGATATATCGTCGTGATCTTGGACACAACTGGATTCCAAGATTGAATGTCTAATGGAGCACAGGTGTGGCCGGCTCACCTGCCCGTCTCGGATTACACACCCTTTGTCGACACGAGAAGACGCCGCCTACATTTCATGTGTAACATTATTAAGCATAAACCTTGAGATTGCACTGGTTGGTACAACGTAGGACTGCTTTTAGAGAAGAAAACTACCATTCGTTTTAAAACAAACATGCGGGTTGAACTGTTCGAGTATTCAAGAGTTCAATTATACATTGCTCATATGACGCATTTACACCTGGATTATTCCAAAGCCTAGTTCGACTTGTAAACGTTTCTGAATAATATTGAACTATATCAGAACAAGGATATACCGGCCCTCACCACTCAAGGACCATCTCAACTACAAGCCAGTAAGGCTATTGCAAAAATTTGTGCTGGCGTGGAAAAGTAAGTGTCACTATTATGGATAAAGACAAACTTATGGAAAACACTATTGCAATGAGCTAAAATATGAATAGGGAGCAGATTTTACAAATTTTTCTATATTTAGAGTGGTTTCGACGTTCTTACTACGAAGAAGGAGTTTAAGCATTAAAAATCAAATGAACCACCTAACCTTTCTCAGACTCTTGAAGTTTGGAACGTACATGGCGAATTGGTTGTGATGTGCACTCTCTGTAACCGATTTTGTTTAATTTTTCAAAGCTCTGTTTTTATAATTTATACTTGTAACACCCTGCATACAAGCTTTATTATGTGCTTTTGTTTTTGGGGTTGATGCTAGGCGTTGGTCTGCGAGTCGGTGAATTCATGTTGAAGGGCATTCGGTCATCCGCGAATGAAGATCGACCGAAAAAGTAACCGAATGTCACCCAGTATCAACTCTAAACAACGCTACGTTACTTAAAATGTATGAACATGAAACTCTTGAGTGAAAGCGGACATAATAAGTGATAGAATGCTGTTTCAGCATGACTTTTGTTTTTGTTAAACATATTGTTTTCACGTGGTACTAATTTCAAACTCATCGGAGTAATCTGGTAAAGACGTTATAAGCTGGGAAAAAGTCTCAAAATGCTAGTTCGGTCGCTTCCGATGGTTCTGTTTTATCCTCAATGTTTTTTCTGTCTAAAGGGCGTGGATGAGTGTATCATAGAAGGAATCAGTGCATTTTCCCACCCTGCTTATAAGCCTGACCAACTTTGAGGATTGACAGGCCTCAGTAATCGGATATTATCAAACTACGATATCATATTTGCTCTGCCTATCTACGTTGATTCGGTCTGTAAGACGACCGTTTTGGCTTTTTTCAATATCAATAAAAGTTATAAAATCAGGGTAACAAAAAGAAATAATCTGGGAAAATTTAATATAATATCCAATCAATTTGGTCTACATTCGTCACGATTGGTTGGTTTGTAAGCAGGCAGAGACAATGCACTGATTTCTTCCTTGACAATTTCGCTCAATTGTGAGACTGAAGCGAGGAGCAAAGACCACAGCGAGGAGAGGTAGGTCAAAAATGACCGGAAACTTCCATGCTTAAATCTAGGTTTTTGTCGTTTGTTCATCTCCGATAATTCTTGTCTGCTATCTTCGTGATGGGTCAGGGTTATAAACGGGCGAAAAAAAGGCATTAATTCCATAAATGCGAAGTTTGCCTGGTTGTTTTCATCTTAAAAAGCTGTTAAAGTACTTATCGATGCTGGTAAAAGACCGTGTCTTACATACCAAATCTGCGAGGATAAGCAGACCACAAATGAGCGGAAACAGTTATTTAATCCAATTAATGATTTATGAATTTAATACGCATTAATAATTCACTAAACATTCTGGTCTGCCATAATTAGTGTTTTGTCAGGGTTATATACAGGGAGAGGCGATGCAATGACTACTTCCATGCGAATTTAGCTTGAGTGTGTCGAAGATAGCGAGAATCACAGATCAAAACAGCGATGAGAAAGGCCAAAAAAATGACCAAGATACATGTTTAACATGTAGTTTGTTCACCTCCGATCATTCTGCCCTGTTAATGTTTAAGTTTGCAAATTTTCTTAGATTGTTTCTTCTTTTCATCCTGTTTATACAATTTTTCTTGATATTAATCCATTTATGCTTAGTGGTCTAATTGGCCACTTCATAGGTCGCTGAGAATCGATTCCTGATTACGCGACATCTGAAAAATGGCAAAAAGAGGGAAAATTCGAAAGGTTGTAGGTTGAGTTGGGAAGTAGGTGACCGAGTGAATCACGTTAGCTCAAGTGGTTAGAGCAGCGGCGTATTGGCCGAAGGTCTTGGGTTCGAATCCCGCTCGTGACACTATCTTATATAAAAAGATTAATTAATTGAAAGAAGTTATTTGGTCAATCAGACCACGAAATTTAATGCAGGTAGTAATTGTGTAAAACTTAATTAGAGATCGTGAGATGCGGTCTGGTGTGTTGTAGGCTTAGAAAAATAACTTCAGGCCCTGGGATTTGTAAACATTGTTTAAATTATAGAAACACATATAACATATGAATATGGCTTTGTATAATGTAAACAATGTTGTGTAAATCCCAGCCCTGAAGATGTCTTAGTAAAGATCGAAACGGTGGCGCGATAAAGAAAATGTTTTTCTAAACCGACATCACACCAGACCGCATCTCACGATCCCTTGGGCCGTGTAGAAAATGGGAGTTGTTAATTTCCGGACATTATGAATACATAAGACACTGTGGTAAATATGAAATGTTTCTCCAGGGAAAGAATATATTAACAATTAGGTTATAGTAATTAGACAGGCAAAAGAGAAAACCATGGATGCTGCACGGAGAATCAAAGGAATTTTCTAATATGACCACCCTTCAATAAAAGGCTTAAAACAATAATAAAGGGTTAAAAATAGTATTTTTGTCACTATTTTTTTATGACAATATTCAAAACTTTACTGAAGACAGGATAAATAGCCACTTTCTCTATCTTGTATTTATTAATAAAATATTTGTAGTTGAGTATAAAATTATATAACACAATTTATTTATGTTATTTTTTATACAATTTAAATAATGAATCAATCTTATCAATTTGCAAATAAAGAAAGGAAATAGCAAAAAGTACTCTCCATGAGGGAAAATTGGAAAGGTTGTAAGTTGAGATGCGAATTTGGTGACCGAGTGGATCACGATAGCTTAAGTGGTTAGAGCAGCGGCGTATTGAGCCGAAGGTCGTGGGTTCGAATCTCGCTCTTGACACTATCTTTTTAATCTCAACCAAAACCTTACATAAAAAGAATAATTAATTGAAATTTTTATTACAGTTGATAAAAGGCCAAACCGCGTCGTCTTACAGACCAAATCAGCATGGATAAGCAGACCAAAATGATCCGAAACGATCATGTTATACTTCTAAGAGATGGTAGTTTGATAATACGATTATTCTGGCCTGTCAGTCTTCAAGGTTGGCCAGGGTTATAAGCAGGGTGAGTCAACGCACTGACTACTTACATAAAAATTTTGCCTAGGTGCTGTCTTCTTTTTCGCTGCTATAAAAACCGACAACTGTTGATGGCGAAAATTCAAAACGCATCCGAAAGGCAAAATCAGCGTGGATAGGCAGACCAAAATTTATTCGAAACGATCAAGAGGTACTAAAGTATCGTAGTTTGATAATACATGATTATTCTGGCCTGTCAGTCTTCGAGGTTTGTATAAGCAGGGCGAGTCAAAGCACTGACTCCTTACATCCAAATTTTGCCTAAGTGCTGGCTTCTTCTCCGCTGCTTTAAAAACCGACAACTGATGATGGCGAAAATTCGAAACGCGTCCGAAAGACAGAAACAGCAGGATAGGCTGACCAAAAAGACGAAAACGGCCGAACTTGAAGTTCACTCTCCGAATCTCACAATTGTAAACTAATTGTTTGCAATAGGTCTAGGTTTAAAACCTGAAGAACCAAAGATTCCGACATGAGATCTATTTGGACCATTAAAATTGTTCAACAACGGTTTATTTAGGAATGAGATAATTGGCAAGTGTTATACTGTATTAAACCATACATCATTGGTCTGAAACTTATAAAAGCTCGAACTTTGTTTTGTTCTTTCCAAAGAGAATCCATAAAATACATCGTGACTCTGAAGAAGGAATGTCAGAACTACTCACGTGCTTCCAAGTGACTCGTGACGGCTGGCAAGAGTCGCAGTACGGCGCTACTTCACCCGGCGCCGTCGGCTCCGTCCTAGGAATGCTGTAGGAAAAGCACGCACCGACGCAGACGTTGTTGTCTACTTCCATCTGCTCGCAGCCCGGGTGTCCGACCACCTGCTTGATCGGCGTCGTCTTGCACCACGAGTGCTTCTCAGGGTATAAGACGATGTTGTGTACCTATAATTAAAAAAAAAGAAATTAATGTAAATTTGTTATAGAACCTGTAAGTAGGTCATTTCTGAAGATCGTACCAAGTTACAGATAAAACCAAACGATTTTAATAAAATTCTTCAGAAGAAAAAAATTCAGGTTTTATTTCTCTTGTGTTTTTCAGATTTAATAAAACTATAATAAATTTAAGGCTTAAAATGAAAAAAAAAATTGTTTTTAAGGATATAAGTTGTACGAAAATGTATTTTCGTATAACCAAACTGAACCGACGATGATAAATAGAATAAAAATCCAAGTTTGATTATTTCTTTATTTTCTACTATCAAGGTCGAATACTTAATCATGTAAGGAATTTTTTCCTGCTTATTTCTTTCGCGGAAGATATTCCGTTTATCGTACATTTTTAAGCTAATGACAAACGACGAATGCCAACAGGAACAGCGGAAGAACAAATGCTTCACCATACCAGGTCAAAAATTGTTTTTTGCACTTTTTTGCTCAATACCGTGACATTATTTTCAATTATTCAAAAACGATAATGATAATCGAGAATCAAAAGAAAACAATAAACGTTCGCGTAGAACGGGTGAACATCAAAATAAAAATTCTTCTGCTTAGCCATGTTAATATTTAAACAATTATTTCCATGAAAAGGCTACAGATTTTTATATAAAAATGTTATAAAAATACGAAAAGAAATAGAAAACGCTATTTATCACTTGAGACCGTGAAGTACAAACTTTTCAAGAGACTTCATCCTCACCTTGTGTTCCCTGTGTGCTGTAATCAAAGCCCCCAAGTGGAAAAAGCACACGAGCAAAAGCGCTGAAATCATTTTGAAGTTTTTCTGAAAAAAAAGATAGAAATAAGAGAAATATAGAAATGAATTTTAATCGAAGACCCGACTGGAAAGAGAAAAAATGAACCCCCGTCCCGTTAGGTCATTCTGCGTAATGATTGGGAAAGAGACTGGGCACAGTTTCATTATTGGACGATTCTGACATCGAAACGCAACTGATGAGCCTCCGAAGTACGTCCGAAAGGTGAACAAAAAAAAAGGGATAAGTTCGATTTAAAGACTGTTTGAAAATAAAAATTGCAACCCTCTTAATTTTACTAAGTATCAACAGAATACATGACTTTTTTAAATTATCAAGCGTAATGATATTGTTAATATTAATTTTATAAGCTACATTTTATCCAAAAATATTGAAATACAGATAATTTTGAAAACTAAGCACCGGGCTTAGGGGTTTTTTTTAATATGAAGCTTACATGAAATGTTACATATCCTTCTTTCGTTATTGCATATAATACATAAATATACATAATGACCATTAAAAATTGTACCAATTTGTTGTGGTTGTACCTTTGGGCAAAATGCCCTCAGCTTCGTAAAACAATCTTCCTCTTCTTTTTTCTGTCTTGAGCACTCCTCGACTCAGAATTATCTAAAATATAAAAATAAAGCCGTGGTTATTTTCTTCCTTTATCATGTATCGTCGATCTTTTATTTATTTGATTTATTTATTAATTTATTGTTTTCAAAGGGAGCATTAGTTAAACGCCAAGTTCAATATGGTTTGTTGTTTTTCATTAAAACTGTTATCAAAAAGAGATTAGGAAATACGGGTGTATTTATAAATTTATTATTTTAATCGTTTACAATACGGCTAAAAATAGGGTTAAATTTTTCTCCACTGCTGGTATTATTCTCCAAAACTTCTACCATTTTCATAATAGAAAAGCTAAAATATTTCAATGCACGTTTTTATATGAATTTTTGAAACTCGTCCAAAAAAATATATATAATTATAAAACAGTTTGTTAGCAATATTTGGCAAATTGAAAGATAAGATTTGCTTTTTTTTCAACTACTGATCATCACAGGTCATCCTGATTTCCTGATTATGAAAATTTTCATTCAACATGAATATTAAGATTTTTATTTCCTTTTACCACAGTATTGCTTAGATAAATGATTTTACTGATGCAACTCTATTAACACGAAATTCATTTCTACACAGTCGATTCCCTTTTTCTCGTATGTATCCATAGTTTAAATGTTTTTAATACAAATCCAAAGCCTCCCTTGATTCTTAATCAATTTTTATAACTACAAGGCTTTCCTTATCGAGTTTGTTTTTGCCAAAAACTATTTTGAAGTCTAACAATTTGTGTTTTTCTTTCTATCATCCCTGGCCAATACGATAATTGAGAATCCATTCAAAATATATAATTCACCGGATTGAAAATTTGCCCATCTCAAAAATAAACCTCCTTTTGTATTAAAAATATATAAACGTGATTGCATTTGAACTGGTTCGATTATGTCAACTCGATAACATTTCTAGCCAATATCTTCTGCCTAGTATCTGGCTTCTTTCAAACTTTGACACGAACGAGAAATCAATGTTATCGTAATATACTTTTACAGAAATCCCATAAATTTTTCACTACTCCGTACAGGAAGCTGTTGAGTTTCAGTTTATGATATGGCACCAGTCTGCAGAGTGATACGATACTTTTCGAAGCTTGTCTTTAGAGTTACTATTTACCATTTATTACAGGGAAAACCCTATTGACAAGGTTGTCATTTGTGTGTGCACAAATTAAAGTAGAATATAATTGTGTTTTCCAAAATATCAAAGTTTCTGTTATGTATCTTTATTGACATATAGACTGTTCTACAATAACGTCTTCACAGACATCTTAGCTGGTAATATCCTTATAAAATAATTATAACCAAATCTTCTCTTTGACAGATTCCTATATGGTAGGATAAAGGGAATGCTATTGGGCTCTATGAAATCATCGTGACTTTCGCAAGGTGTCATTCTCAGCCTAATTCTCTTCAATGCCCACCGATCTGGGTGAATCAATTGGGATTTGAAGTTGAACTATGCTGATGAAGAAAAACTTTACTGCAACGCACACACATCGCAATCGATTGCAGTCATGGGCAGAGCCATAAAGATTCTTTGTCCTTCAATCAATAACGGAAAAAATTGTGTTGGAAGAGTTGTGAAATAAAGAACATTCGATTCTGTTTGGGGAGAAAACGGTTGTAAACACGCTAACAAAGGTTTATATTAATATTAATACCGATAAGAGGTCATTGAATAAATAGGTTTTTTTGTTGCATCTGTTTAGTAAGTCGTTGGTAGGAGTTTGAGAAATCTGAAAAACTAATCGTTTCGTTGTTAAATCCTTGTTGTCCTTCTTCGGTGAAATCGCATCCTTAGATCCTGCAGTTGCGGCAGACTTGTGGTGGAAGCTGCTTCAGTCGGATTTTTTGGCGAGGTGCACCCGCACGCCAAAAGTGGGTGACACCCCCCAATAAACGTCGAGACCGTTCACCAGAGACTTTCTACATGCGAGTTCCTCATTCTTTGGTTCCCATGGAGGAAAGAAAAAAAAACCGGATTGCGAATCGACGTCCTTGGTGTCGGCTGATTGACGTCACCGTGGACGACGAACCTCCAGCGGCAGCCCAGTTCGCACAGATCAACGGATAAAAAAAAATATAGAACGAAACAAATGTTACGAGTATATAGGTTAGAAGGTGACAGACCTGTGCTTCCCAGTCTATGTTCCTCTCGGCCAAAGGTTCACCGAAGACTAAAAGTCACCTGATGGCGATCGAGGGGGGGGACCGTGGACGAAACAGGTCTCTCCCTCCAAGAGTTCTTGCTCCGCCTCGGGCGCTCCTTCTTTTTTATTTTTTGTACGAAGCAAAATCTCAAATTATATTTTGCATATAAGCCCCCTCCCACCCTTAACGATCCGGCAATAAGCTATCCCCATTGTCACACTAATCATGCTCTATTACAAGCATCGTTAACGATACCTCTCTATAAACCATCAGTCCTTTCATAGCCGGTTCTTTTCTTCCAGCTCCCGTCGTCACAGTTCTTCGTCGATCACACAATCCACAATATCAGGCACGACATATCAATTATGAAAAAATAAAACTATAACAATTGATGGAAGGAACATAACAACAACAGTTTTACATTAGGTAAACGCATGCACACTATTGACAATTGCGAAAATTGATTGTACCCAACGGATTAAATTTGCCTCTACCCACTTACAGAGATTTGACATAGAATAAGAGATAAAATTTATACGGGTTTTCTGTGTACTGCTAATAAGCGATAAACGTTTATGTAACAAATTGCATTGTCCGAGAGATAGTGCTAATGAACTATCAATTATCAGAGTACGCATTTAATAGACTCCAGCCTCTCCATTCTGAATAAAACGCAAAAAACCACATCAATGAACTGAAGACGACAAAAAATTCAATTAAAACGTATTCACAATTTCATTTACGATAAGTCTAGTTAAAATTTACTTTTTCCAACCATCATGTTAGACGGAATTAACTACCAACTCTTAAATTGCATTCAGATATGTAATCCTTCCATATTTTCCATACTTTAGAATGATTTGTATATAATAATGATTGTATGTTAAGGTATAATGATTATTAGTTAAGGATTTATGGTGTGGGGTCGCCTTATAAATGAACGTGAACACATTTCACACTCGTTACGCAACCCTCTTAACGCAATTAATTTTCAATTTACATCATTGATTCAAATCAATACAGCTCCAGTAACTAAAAGTCAGCCAAGTCTTATTATCATTAAAAACATGACGTAGCTGTCCAACCCCTGAAGGTAGAGGAAAGTTCAAAATTAATGTGATTTCAAAAGCCAAGCAGCCATAAAAGAATTAGCACATAAAAGGTATTTAAAATAGTCAGTAAAAAAATCTTCAAAACTTGCTAAAACACAAAGACGTAATAATACACAGAAATCGCTCAAACACTGAAGATGGCGAAACGCGTCTGAATTCACAAAAATCAATAAGGATAGACAGACCAGGATGTAACATGTATCAAACAGGTAAGATAAGTATCACACAATGACCTGATATCTTTGGTCAGGACACAAGGAGTAATAAAGGTAATAAAATAAGCAGACAAACTGGCCAGAGGATGATCTTCAATTATGTAGGCCCAGAACCTATACTAAGGATAACAATGACACATACAGATTCATCCATTTCAGAATGGATCAAACAAGAACGGAGAAGTGGACATTCAGGAGGTTCCATTCACAGTAAACTCAAGGTTAAAGAACCCTCGCCGAAACTGGCAAACACATTGTTAGAAAGGGTAAGTCATGAGAGTGATAGGACACCGGTCACTGGTATCAGAAAACACCTACACAACATCGGGTCAATGATAACCCCATTTGTCGATTATGCAATGAGGAAAAAGAAACTGTCTCCCATCGGATACGAAGACCACTGGATGCATAACAAAGGATATTAACCCAGGGAAAACGATGCAGCAGTGACAGTCAATGATTAGAAGAGAGGATCGAGTCAATTGAACTGAACTAAGAAAGTAGGAAAATACAATAAGCTCGAAGACTAGTGATTAAGGAATACAAAACCCTGCTTCTTAGCATACATCATCATCATCACTCTTGATAATATTAGACAGAATTCTTAATAGCGGAAAGTCTTAATGACATAATTATTTATGTAGAACTGATAGACACTTGGTAACTTTACTAGGCCTGTTCACTCTCGCCGATTTACATCTCACTAAATTCGATTTCACACCATCTTCAGTGAGGAGTTGCGATCAAATATTGATCATTTTAACAGTTGTTCACCGACTCGCTGGCCTATTGTCTGACTATAAGTCATTCAGAGGTTTTTGCTGTGCAGTGCTGTCCCCGTCTGGTGTTCCTCTTGTACTTTTTGTCGCGGGGGGTCTCGTACTTTGGAGGTACGCTACTTCTTGTACATTGGCAAGATGTTAAAGAAATAAAACAAAAAATTCTCCCTCTTCAGGTTTTACGTATTCAGGTGGAAATATTTTACTAAATTTTGACCAAAAACTTTTAAGGGATTTTGACTGAAGTTGAAAAAACAGGTAGTTTTTCTGGCGAAGCTAAACATGTAACATAAAGTGAGATTTCTTTTTGAGGGTGGAAAGGAACCTGGAGTCTTCGGTCATCCTGGTCTGCTAATTCTTGCTTTTTCACCATCTCACTTCCTTCAGTAACAAAGGCAATGCCGAAACAGCCTCTTGTATTTAACAAAACAATAAAAAATGTACTCAGACGCACCACTATAAATGGCGAGAAGCCAAAAGGCTATCGACAGACCTATAGAGCGTGGATAGGTAGACCAAGATGTACGAATACAAGAATCCTCAATTTCACATTCTACTCACTTTGGAGAGGAAAACATCATTTCCTAACACTGTCGCTTAATGATACAACATTGATGTTTTAAATGTGTAGCGGATAAGAAAATGTAGTTTAGTCGTTACGATCATTCGCCTGCTGTTATGGTATGTACCTTTTACCGGGTGTTCGTCTTTTTTATAGGACCTTCACTAACTACTAAAAGGATAGTTAGAGTTGGTTGGGGAAAAAAGAAAATAAAAAATTTTGGGTAACGAAAAAACAGACATACTGTCCAGAGGAGGATCTGCAAGAATCTATCTATCTTTAAATCTGCTAGATTTAAAATATTTTTACTACCAAATTAAGTTAAAAATAAAACATAATTACACAACATTAAAAACAGCGAGATTGCTCAGGGAAGTCTGCCTGGTGATGAACCTGTAGTTCGGTCGGCTTCGATTATCCTGGTCAGCACACTTACCAAACCAGCGAGAATAGGAAGACCAAAATACAAGTGCATTCCTGCTTACATTGAGAAGAAATGTTCTATCAGTTTGTATAACAGTGTTTTATTGCATTTAGTTTGTAAGGTTGATATGTCAGCATCTAGTTGGGTCGTTTCCTATCATTTAGGTCTTTACATTTTCGCGATATGCCGGAATAGAGGAAAACAGGGAGAGAAGAAATAGAAAGAGAGTGAGAGAGACTGAGACTTCTACGGCCATTTTTTTTAAAGAATGTTATCACTTATTGCCCATTAAAATACTACACAGAACCTTTAGAAATTCAAAGATTACCTGAAATTTTGACGCTTGACAAAGAGACTCTTAGCCCTGAAGATCATTTTGAAACTGCGCCGCGTCGTTAAAGTTGACCTATCCTTTCTGTTAAAACATATTTTTAACATGAAGTTAACGAGATGTTGTTGATCAAAGTACTTTTAAAGTATAATGCTTGTCTTAAAGACGCATCCTAATACATTTTTCATGCATGGCGCGGCAACCTGGACGTCCTATAAAAATGATTGCTGTTTTCTTAAGGAACCAGTAATAATGCTAATTTTATTTCCATAAAGTTAGATCTTGCGAATATAGAATCGCATAGCATCCAATCATAACGAAATTCGCGTAATTAAAAAAAGTAGGTATCTATCAATATTTTACCTAGACAGATACAATTCTGTTTTGTAATGTAATAAAATAGAATATGATAATAAAATCTCCATTTTCGTCATTTCTGATAATTTTGGTCTGTCAGACTTCTCGCCATCATCAGTTAGGTTTTTATAAACAGGATGAGGAGAAAGCCACCGCTCACGCTAAATTTGCAAGTTAGTTGACAGACAAAAACAGCAAGGATAGATAGACCAAATGACAGGGAACAACCAAATTACATGCTCCATCAATCCCCCTCATGGAGAAATCACAAAAATTTTTCCAAGATAATCCAAATATTATTTTGCACGTTGCAAAGTCAAGTTCATTTCCTGTAACTGTTTTCTAAATACTTCATATTTTCATACAAAGCCTTGAAAATTTATGAAAAATAACAACCTAACAATAACTTGAGTGCCAGGGCATGAAGGAATTTTAGTTAATGAACAAGCAGACAAACTTACCATAAGAGGATTTGCAAGACCAGTTATAGGCCAATCATACAAATCAAAAGGAGAGGACGAACTCTAATAGTCCATAGTAAATTCATCAAGGTTAAAGAACCCTCGCCAAAACACAAACAAATTGCTGATAGAGAGGGTAAAACTCATGAGAATGATAGGGCAGCAGCCACTTGCATCTGCAAAAACATCTACACAACATAGGATCAATAATGACCCCATTTGTAGGTTATGCAATGAAGAGGAAGAAACTGCCATCCATATTATCTTTGTCCATTGAAGACTTTTGACCAAGTGGTTAGGGGCTCATACTTGTCATGCTAGCAATTTTGGGTTCAAATCCTGGCACAACCCATGGCACCTTTCAGGGTGAACAGTCGAGGCATAAAAGGCTTTTTAATTGAGAATAGTATGAAAAAAGCGTTTGGAAGTGGTTCGACCCCCTCATAGGCAACACCCAATGGGCAGTTGTGCATTAAACCTTCCTGAAAGACAGGATTTTTTTTCTTATGCTTATCTTCTAAGGCGAAGCAACTCTCAAAGTAGCCATAACCTAGGCTAACAAGATGACCCAAGAAAAATAATTGCAGCAAGACCTTCTAAAAAAAGAATTGAATAAATTATACTGAACTAAGAAATAACATACTACTGTGAAGACTAAAGTAGTTGGGAATACTACCCTCCCGCAATGTAAAAATAATAATGGACATCGGTAACTGCAACTATCACATTGACAAGACTCATTACTGTAATGCGTATTTTTAGTGACCTTGTTTAAAAATTTGTTGGATTCGTGAGGAGTGGTCAAGAACAATTCCATTTTTTCACGTTCAACCTTTATTCGGGTCATCTTCAGGGCATAGTGTGGTGCTATTCTTGTGGTGTCATATGGTGTGTGAAATTGTTGTGGTCATCACTGTAAGTTAAAAGTCCAGGTTCAGTGGCCCTAAATTTGAATCCAACATTCAAATGGGCATTTTTTTTTCCAAAAACACCAATACCCTGAGATTTCATATAACCTGGTAGTTAAATACCCTTGTAAAAAAATATAATGATAATAATTGGAATTTTCATTTGATTTCATGCAAAATAGATATTTAAATATTCATTTTCCATTAGGTATGTTACTTTTGTGTACCAAGCTTTGTCCCTGTTTTAGGTTAAGAAAAGAGACAATAAACTTATTTGTTTTATTTCAATTAAAATGTATAAATAAATTTATTTATATAAAGCCGTGATAAACTTGTGTACAAAATGTTTTTTTATACAAAAAGGAATGGTTAAAGCACAGCAGTGTAGGATAGTTTTCACACATTCTTAATTTTGTAAACAGTGAGACTAAACTGATGTGCAAGACTAGAAAGATATTTTAGAGGCAATTCCAGTGAAAATTTTAGATTATCCTCAAGATGGCATGTTTGCTCGTTTCCATGATCGTTACACTTCTGGACCGAATAGACTTCGAATTTTGGCAACGCCTCCACCGACAGGTGAGGGTAAAACATGGTGTCGACCAATTGTGTCAAATTTTGGTTGAAAGCGGCTGCTTGGAAGTCATTCATCAAGCTCGAAGGTGCTACATAATAAATCCGATACTTGAGGCGCTTCTCGTTCCAGAGGTTTTCCGATCTATTCAGGATCGCCTTAATATTTTCCACGACTACGTCCATGGATATACTTGAGCCGAGTTCATATGTGAAAAAGTCTTTCGACCTCTGATACCTGGATCCGGTTTTCGTGTAGTATTGAGCAGATTTTCCAAACCTCATTTGTAGGAATGAAACCGGAAGGGGGTAAATGTGGGATGTAATTACGTGCATGTGTGTCAGTCTCGGCTTCGCTTCTAATTCCTTGTATAGATGGTTTATCAACGGGCTAATACCTGCTTGATGAATATAACCGAAAAACAATGTCAAGACAATATTTATTATGTACCTGAAAATAAAATTAAAATGTATTAATTCCACAATTATTACAACTTTTATCGGTCAAAAGTTAATACCAAAGTGCAAGTATATAATCCTTGATGTCAAGTTTGATGTCCTTCTTCATAAATGCTGTATAACCGTTTTCTTGTTTTGTTATTACTTGATGCTCCGTAACATTCCGTATCTTCTGTGAATAAAGAAAAACGATTGGCAACGTGCAGCCAATTAAGAACCTAGGCTCTTGATGCGGAAATATTGAAAGAATTACTACTGGTACAACAAATGAAGTCGTCATTAATCCTATTATGCTTTGAACTCTTGGAAGAGAGCTCCATCTCTTCATGGCTCCTCTTTAGGTGGAAAGAATAAATATTATTATTTTTTTATTTTATTTTTTTATTGAATATCACTTAAAACCTTTACCTATAGATTAAATGAAGAAAGCTATAAATTCCTGCTAATCCTAGAATATTGTAAAGGAGTGGAATATTGACTAGAATGTGCGTAATCCTTGGATGGATTCCATGTTGTGCGAGATTGTCACTGTTCATGTTGTACTTTATAAAGTTGTAGGGGGTCAAGACAAAGTCCCTCCAAATGTTGACTTTCCAATGAACAATCTCATCAAGCGTTAAATAGCCAAAATACATAGAATCAAGAATAACCATGACAAAAAACGATGGCAAGGCACATATCATTAGTGCTAAGACTCTCATGTTAAAATCAGTCATTCCTGAAAAGCAAAATGGTAAGTCGAGTAAATGATCAAAAGCCAATAATTATTACCTATAAACTTGGACCCCATCCCACGAAGGAGCCAAAAGAAAACGGGCGGAAATGCAAATACGACAAAAGTCGGCCTGTTGAACACGCCAACAGTCGTCAATGTAGCGATGAAGAATACGTTTGAAAGAGTGTGCCATGGAAGCGCCAACCTCATCCTGTGAAATCTCACTCTGTCTTTAATATTATTTGAATGATTGTAGCACTCTCTCAGGTATTCATCTTGATATATAATCTAGAAAAATTTCTAATAGTTAAAACAATTTTATTTTGCTATAAATTGATATATGATCTTATTTCTGTTAATCAAAATTATAAATTAATATTGAAAATAATATACTTGAAAATTTTGATGTTTTTTAAACTTGCCTTTTCATTAATTATAAGACTTATATATTTTGTATAATTCATATTTATTAAAATATTTGATTAGTGTGAAAAAGAAATACCTCTTGAAAACTAAAATTTAATTTAAAAAAGAAAAAATCTCTTTTCTGTATGAACACAAAACATTATAAACAAACTTAAAAATTTTTAATAGGGTGTTACCTCCTCGTATTACACATACAATCTTCTCAGCATGCTCATAATTAAGCCTTTAACCACTTAGGTATTGAGGAATTTCATCCCAAATCTCTACTAACATAACTTTCAGCTCATTTAAGGTAGGTTTTTTTTTTTTTTTTTTTGGGGGGGGGGTATTTCTTCATTTTACCCAACATCTGAGCTCATCCCAAATGTTCTCAATGGGGTTCAAATCAGTGTTACAGCGGTATGGGGTGACCATCTTAGAATGTGTATTGGTAACACATAAGTACTGTATAACACTGGTAGCGATAGTTGGTCTTGTATTATCTTGTATAAACAAGAATTGCTCGCCAATAGAAGCAAATTACAGTAGTATGACCAACAAAAACATGTAATACATTTTGTTTCCAAAGAAATTCCATTTCACACTTCCATAATTGAACCACCTCTGAATGGCCTTTTTCCAGCATGTTACATTAGCTAACTCGATAATCTCAAAGACGTCCATCTGGTGAATGGAGAGAAAAGTGGTACTTGTCGGAAAACATAACATTCCTACATTCAGTTTTGTCTGATGTGGGGCTCTAAGCGGTCCTGAGGATGGTCTCTGATAAGTGCTGAACCTATTATTGGCCTTCTGGGATGTAGACTCATCGAAGTTTCCTTACTTTCTTCCTGTTTCAGCGTTAACAGAAATAACAGACCGCATGGTAAGACTTTTCAGAATTAGTGGAAAAGTGATTTCTCAGTATCATCCGCTAGTCCTCTGGCTCTTGAGCATGCCGATCCTGGTCTCCAAGTACACCTTGCATGTCTTACATTACTGCTGAATGCCCAATGGGCCGTCATTACAGGTTAGAGTGAATTTTTTAAAGGACTAAATGTCTTGCACCCACCACACTCGGCCCTTTTTCCCTAAACCTTGCCAGTGGCCCTGCAACTATTGACCGGCTCTTTAAAACTTCTTTTTTACTGTACTCCAGCCAATCCTCTTCTTTGGAATCTTGCCCTTTTGATATGTTCGCCTTAATTTCCAATGGCTATTTGAAAGAGTCTGAATCAGAAAACTGCGATTTGGAAAGCTTTCCTTCTTGGGTCGACCAGTTTGAACCAGAGTGCAGGATGTTTGTGCATGGATTTAATCTGTGCCTTACACATCCACCTCATTCGGCCCTTTTTCCCTAAGCCTCATGAGTCACCTTGTTCGGGGGACACCATTAAAACGATACCAAGTTTATTTCTGAACTCTTTTCCCATATTACATAAAAATGTCTACTTCGATTATTTTGACACTGAGTGCTTGAAAATAGCTTCATCATAAGAAACCAGCCAATTCTGGAGCAGAACCCTTTGGTTGTTTCTGGCCATTTTGTATGCCTATGCCTAGTGATAATAAGGAGACCAAACGACATGTTTCATCCCTCAGACCTCAAGGGAAAACCTCACAACATTAAAAACAAAATTGAAGGATTTCGTTTTTATGGGTGTTGTGCTAGTATACAAATTAAAATGCTTATAGTTTTTCATTGCGTGCAGTAAACAATGTTTTTTAGTATTTCTGTACCTGATCACTGTTTGCCATACTGTCAGCAACGAGGTACACCAGCAAAGACATGAGCGCCATTTCGATAGTGTTTGAAAAGCTCCTAGTGGCGTAGACAAGCATGACATAAGAACTGGCCAATGTTAGCAGCCTCGTTCTATAATTCTGACCGTATAAATAGCAAATCCTTGAAATAAAAGAATTAATCAGCAACTCTTATTTAGCTGAATTCTGCATTTATAAATACTCACTTATACATGCAGATATCAGTTGTGAATGAGAACAAACAATAAGTGAATCTAGGAATGGCGATAAGGCTATAAGGGTTGATTGGATTCACATCGAACCAGAGCGATATGAAAGGTGAAATGTTTTTGAAGAATATAAGCGGAATTCCTGCAAGGACGTAATGCAGCGTTATACTTCTGATTGGAAATGTCGAGTTGAATTCCCAAGGTCTGTTGGACGTCACGCTGAAAATATCTCCTGGAAATACAGAACCCTTAGCATTGTTTAAAAAAAAAAAAAAAAAAACTACCAAACATACCGTTGAGGACTTCGAGTGATTGGAAGTATTCATCTGGGTGGATGTAACCGGTCTGCGGAGTCAAGCATAGCCCGAATCTCAAAACCGCTAGGAACCAGTAAGGAATCAGGCTCAAGTTGACCAATTTTTTTTCCTTTTCTTTTTCATTTTCTTGATCGTTCCCATTTTGAGCGTTTTTCTCCATTGTTTTTCACAGTTTCTCGGCCAGAAATCATTGCCGTCAGTGCATTTTTTCAATTTTTTTTCAATTATCTCTATATTTTGTCAAAACAATCAATAAATAAAATACTTCTGTTAAAACAAAAGACATTATCATAAATATTCTATTCCAAGGGCTTGGTACTCGACAGTCGTTGATATTGTCTTGAGAGATAACAATTCACATTTCACAACCTACAACAACGACTTGAGGTTATCTCAAAATACCTCAGTTGCCAAGTATTTCGTTAGAAATGATGTCATAAGTAGAAAAAAAATTATTTTGGATTTAGAAACAAAGCAAAAAAATTATTCATTTCCTGAAGTCTTTATTATTTCAGAATTTACAATAGAAATATTCTTGTCAATTTACAGTAATCAAAGTAAACTCAACAATCTGGTTCAAAGTTGCTCTTCTGTGGAGTCAAATATTAACTTATACAACTATAATCTCTGTAAAAACTATACTTTTTTTGTAATACTGTTTATTATTTAAATTATAATTCTTTTTTTCAAATTATAATTAATTATTAAGACCAAATGAGAATAAGCAACACTATTTAACCAATAGGAGATAGAAGGCTCATCGTGATATTACTACAAAGAAAACAAAAAATAATATACAGGACCTTTGTGGTATCTACAATATACTTTTTCCAAAACTATTGATTTGAAAAGTTCTGAAATAATTAGGAAATAATTCCTGTCATTCAGGGGGCATCCTAGATATGTTCTGATTATTGGTTGGATTTTCAAGAATTTGCCTAGAGCAGTGGTCCAGATTACAAAGATTTTAGTACTTCGGGCATAAATTTGAGCCAAAAAACGTGGAAGATCGCTGAGGTCATCATGATTGTTAAACCGGGTAAATCGCCACTTGTGCTCAGACCATTCATGTAAATTCTATACTACTGGTGTTTTCCAAATCATTTTAAAACAACTTATTTAAAAGGCTATTTACAATTATTAAGGAGAAATTTTTTTTTTTTTTAATAAAAAAGCCAACCATTGGCTCTCAACAACAGCACTCTAGGATTGACCAGATACACCAAATCACCAGTCATTGAACAACAAGCACTGGAAGACAAGAATTATGCTCAGCATTGTTTTCTTTGATGAGGCACAAGCATTAAAATCTGGCATGAAGGTATCGTAGATAAACTAAGAAACTCTAAGCCAACTACTAGAAACTGACTGAATTACCCACCTTGCTGACACGTACTTCCGAATTAAGCAACTCCTATTCAGAACTCAAACAAATCCATCCTGGAGTTCCCCAAGGCAGTGTATTAAGCCCTGTTCTATATCTGCTCTTTACTAGCAAACTACCAGAAAACAAGGATAATACCTAAACAATATTACAAATATGGTAGTTGGAGAAAGCAATGGTCAATCAGTTATTGAACAACTCCATTTCTGAATTTATAAATTGATAACAAAATGGAGAATAAAGCTGAAGAAAGATATCAGCATGTGGACTTCACCAACCAGATAATTCAGTACCGCCCTATATTAACAGTCTTACAATTTGCAAACAAGGCAAAGTACCTTGGTATGATATTAGATGTGTGCTTACTATATAAAACACAAAAAAGTGTGTTGTTTTAAAGAGTGAAGAGCTCATTATCAAATATGCAATTGAACATATTATGTAAGTTTTATTTGATTATTTACTACATGCTCATTTATTGTTAAAAACAAGGACAAGAAAGCTAAACATACTTGAGAATAATATTAAATTTTTATTTACTCTTTGATACATTATTATAAAGACAAGAATAACAAAGTGTTTCACTACAGTACTGTTGCTTTGCTGCCAAGAATTCCAAACCAGCAAAATATTGTAGTTTCACTCCGAACTGCGTGATTCAGACTAGAGACAAATTAGCTTAAAAGTAAAAAAATCATTATCAAATAATATTTACAAATTATAAGTCCTTCGACTTTATCGTCATTTGTCACACTCTTATCAAAATTAGTGCACTGTTTTAATCAATTCTGACGAGGAAAATTTTTTAGAATGGATTAAAACTCTACTCATTAAGTTTGTTCTTAGCGGGTGTTTTGGGTAAATTCGTGGTAGCCTCTTGTTTTGAATCGGGCCAGAAAAAATTCGGAATGCTCTGCCCAAAGTACATCTTGGCATTTTTCCCGATAGCTTCAGTCTTCTTGAGCTCCAGGTACTGGGGGGTTAAGAGTTTAGCATTCGCCTCTGCTTCTTTTTCTATTTGGTAAAATTCAGCATCTGTATTTGCTTTTTGCCTTGCAAGATGAATTGTATCTGAAGAAAAGTAAATTAGCAATCATACTTGAAATTAAATTATAATATTCAGAAACAAAAGAAAAGAGAGTGAAATTTAATTACTTTCAATTTCAGCCATTTTTTGAAGTGATTCTTTTTCCATTATCTTTTGCTCGTATTGAATTTTTGAAACCTGCGATACTTTTTCAGCTTCTATAAGAGCTTTTTTCCTTTCTGTTTCTGCATCTTTTTCTACTACCTTTTGGTGCTCATGTGCAATAAGTAATTTAGTCTTTTCATACTCCCTAAAGAAAAATGGTTTTATTAGCTTGTGTTTTCACTTTATCAATTAAATTGATTGATTGAATGTTTTACATGAGTTCGTAATTTTTTCTGATTGTCTCAGGAATCTTCGGTTTGGTCACTCTAACTGCCTGGATTTTAAGACCCGGCGCCATTTCGTTCAGATCCCTCTGTAGCGCATTTTTCAGATTTTCATCTATTTGGTCAAACAGATCAATATAAACCTAAAACCAAGGATAAAATTATTATAAAACAAATTTATAATTATTTTATATGAAAGCTCACCTCGTGTAAGTTGTGAACACTGCAGAATTGATTCAGTTCATGGTGTACCTTATTAAAAATCAAAGTTTTATCGTAGTCCGCTGTATAGTTCTTGACTATGTCATAAACTGAAATTAAACCTCAAAAACATTGTAAAAAGATGCGACAGTACAGTTAATAAAATACTGAAACTTTATTTAATAACAAATGGATAAAAAATTTAATTATACTATTCAGATATTTAATTTCACTATACTTTACTATGAGAAAAATAAATAAATAAACGTGCAAACTGAATTTAAATTGAATCTGACTTGATTACATAAATATTTCCTACATTATTTTGATACTGAAGAAAATTATTCTCTCAGCAAATGCTCAATTCAAGAAATACATGTTTTACATGCCATTAATATTTGTTAATAGAAATATTTTATTGATAGTTAACACATTGAATTTCATAAAGACTTTCTATTTATTCAGGCTATCTTGCACAAACCTTTTTGTATAATAAATTACTTGCAATTATAATTGTGTTTTCACTATTTACCTCACAAATTAGTTACTAAGAAATTATTATTTTAAAAAAAGAAATGCATGGCCTTTTTCATATTATCAAATATGAAACAACACAACATACAACTTCTTTTATGTCAGCATGCATTATTTAAAAATATATTGATAATATAATATAATATAAATATTTTAATACCACTGGACACCTGAAGAATATTAACCACCTCAATCCTATCAAAATAAATCATTACACCTCCACTCGTCCCGCAGGGTACATTTTTAACTTCATCTGTCTGCAGAGTAACCTGAAATAGTAACAATCTAATTATAAACTTATCATAATTTAATTTTTTATAGGGGAAATAATCTACCTGAACTGTTCTGTAAGATGTGATTAATGGGATCATCATATGAAATCCAGCAGTACTCGTCTGTGAGAGCAGCGCTCCTCCCTGTACATATTTGCCTGTTAATTTTTTTTTATCACTAAATAATAAATGTACTAGACGTTACTGGTCGAATTGACTGACTCGGTAATAAACAGCTACATGGCCCTCTTCGACTTTGTGTATGGAAAAATTAGCCATCATCGCCATGAAAATAAAGCCGCTGGCTAAAATAGCACTCGATTCAACCATTGTTGATATGTAACTTTTAATCTAAAAACAAAAAACTACTTAATTATAATTCTAATAGAATTGTACAGGATTTTGGATTTGGATAATTGGCATCAGGAGACTGGCCATAACACAGAGATTCATGAGAAAGGGTTGGTCCACATACTGCATATTTTTACAAGCTCAAAAAGAAATATGTAACAATTGAACACCAGAACAGATCTTTTTCAGCCATACTGTATATTTTTAAGTAGGTAAAAAATTGGCATGCTGTTTCATTGGCGACAAACCTGTGCAGCAAATCAATACAGCACAATCAGTTTCTAGATCCAAACGCATTCACTCTCTCTTAAATATATTCTTTCCTATTTACCATACCACCCTCTACACTTACATAACTAACCTATAGGGCATTTTGGTTTTTTCAAATTTCATCTTTCACCCTTATAAAGGTGATCTATTATTACCTGCTAGTCCCATCAGCTCTAGGGTGAGAAAAGCCCTATTAAAAGAGATGTATAGGAAAGGTGTAGTTAAGCCAAAAATCAATATAGAACGAAGCCTAGATGAAAATATCTCAGAGCCTAGCACCGGCTTGTGGACCTCTTTTTACAACAGCTCAGAAAATGGGAACTTGTGAATTGGATATTAGAAGATTGGGGACAAGTTCTCTTTACAGATGAGTTGAGGGTTGGCCTCAAATCTTCAGATGGGCGTAATTTTATATGGACGCTTAGGAGAAAGGTATGCCCCATGATGTACGGTTTCTCAGACGGAATCCACAATGGGTATTGATGTTCCACTTCCTTAGACGTCCGCACCGAATTGGTTGTTGTGTGAGGAAGACCTCTTTAACTTCACAGAGGTACTTACAAGGCATAATCAAAGAACATGTAGTGCCATTTGCCCACACACCGATGAGAAATTCTTGCTAATACAGGATAATGTCAGGCTCCACAGAGCACGTATTGTGTATGATTGAATGCTTGGTGTGACCAGCTCGACATCCAGATATGAACCAAATAGAACACATTTGGGACCAACTTAGGCGACGAATACAACGGCAAAACCAAGGTCCTAACACTCTAGAAGAGTTGGAAACAGCTGTTTTGGATGAATGGGAAAAATTTTACCAAAAATATTTTGCAAGGAATACAAAGGCGTTTAATGCACGTGATTCGTACCAGAGGTGGAAATACTCGTATTAAAGAGGTCAAAAAACTTTTTTTAAACATTTTTATTTATTTTTCAATTTTCTGTTTTTTTTTTTTTTTTTTTTTATTTTTTTTTTTTTTTTTTTTTAATTAGGCAATAAACATTTTCTTTTTAATTGTCTTATTTTTACAACCAAATCTATTTTTGGTAAGCAAAATATGAATAAACCTAAATAAATTAAAATTTAAGGGTGGTGTGTTAAATAAATTGTGACACAAATGAGTAAACCAAAATATATTTATTATTTATTACTAAATTACCCATTCTAAAATTACCAGACGGTCTCACTCGACCAGTTTAACAAATAATTTTTTTTTTTTTAATTTTTAAAAAAAATCCAGTGACATTAAGAAATTAGGAGCTTATATTTTTGCCAAACCAGTATGTGTTCAGACTTGTTTTACTGAGTGTGCAGTGTAAAAGGTGGTAATCACACTGATGCTGGTAGGTGTATTAAAACATTTTTATGTAAACTGCTCAAAAATATAGAATAGGGATATTTCTAATTTATTCTTATTCTATTAATTCTAATTAAATTAACCAATATTTTGTTAGTTGGATAAAACAAAATAGAAAATACAAACCAAAAACAAACAAATGTTAATCCTAATTTTTAATAATGGATTTACTTAAGAATAGTAAACACGAAGATTACTCATTTTGGAAACACAACTTTTCTCATCTTTTTTCTATTTAATCCATTTGTATTCTCTTTAACTATGGAAAGACATCATCTTGAACTGGAAGTCATATTATTGTGAGAATGAGTCATCAAGGTCACCAGCAAGTGGATATCGCAGAGGCAGTTGATTTGTCAGAGAGAGGTCTAATGGGCTTTATCCCGATTCCGAGAGATTGGTTGTGCCAATAGGAGGCCTGATAGTGGATCTCAGCGCATTATGACGCTAAGGGAGGACAGAAATACAAAAGAACCCTTTCCATAGTGCCCGCCAGATATTAAACAAAGTACAAGATGTTTTGGCAAGGCTTTTATCAACGATTATTATAAACAATTCACAATCATTTGTGGGAAGTGTGCCTCACATTGTAAGCACCTTTGAGATGGCCTGCAGCAACAGCCCACAACCAGCAACTCAGGAAAATATGGTACAGAGTGCGACTAGAAGAGAACACCAATTACAATGTTGTTATGTTTACCGATGAGTCTCGTTCTATCTATAGCAGGCGCCAAAGAGTCAACCGAGAACAGGGGATGTACAATGCCCCAATTTGTGCACCTTTTAGTGCAGTTTGGAGGAGACGGTGTAACGGTCTGGGGTGGAATTTACACTGGAGAATGAACTGGACCCTTTATTGTTGAACGCAACATCACTGACGCAACGTCCATTATGTCCAAGAAATTATCGAGGAATTCATCCCTCAAACCAGGGATCTCATTGGCAGGGATTTTTGATTTCTGGATGACAACGCCACACCTCGCAGAGGCAGAGTTGTTCATCAGTGTTTAAAAAACCTTGGAATTTCCCATCTGCCTCTTCCCCCATTGTCTCCAGACCTCATTGAGCACATGTGGAATGAGTTCCAGATAAGGCTTTTCGATCACGACCTGCATCAACTGAGTGCAGAGTTGCAACATCTATGTGGTGAAATTCCTTACGAAATTAGTAACACCTAACAGAGGACATTATTCATGGTATTAATTATTTTAAAAAAATGTGTGCAATAAACAAAATTATGGGATTAAAACCTTTTATTTTGTTATTTTTCAAAATCCCTTAATTAAATTTCCTTCAGTAAACAATAAAATGTTAAAGCAATTTATAATAAAAATGCTAGGGAAAGTAAATACTGCAAAATTGGCAATATCCCTATTCATTTTTGAGCAGTTTATTAAAACATATACAAATGTTGGATAACTTGCCAGTTCGAAAAACGCAGTAGAGTCAAGTATAAATAAAAATAACTGATCTAAAACTTTCCATAAGTGTTATCAAGAAGTTTACTTCACTCAGCATTCTGACTCGGCAAACGATTAAATAATGAAAAAAATATCGATGGGACTGCCTGAAAGAAATACTTTTAAAATCGATCCGCCTGTTGAGAAATTAATGACGATTGATTCGAATCAATCACCGAAGAAAAAGGGAGAGAACGGGCATTAGAATGGGATTTCATGTGCGTACCTGTCGAATGACTCCAAGAACGTGGAAAATAGAGAGAGCCGGCTAAGGCAGACGGCTCCACGAACGAAGGATCCGCCAACAGGGGGCCGGCAACGTGATAACGACGAAAATGGTGGTTGAAGTTGTTCGGTCTACCGAAGTACCATCACGAACCGAAGACCGACGATGACGACCGGTGAAGAGGCCGAGTGTTGTTCTTCGTCAATTTTCGGGAATCGGCTGAATAATATTTCTATCGGATAAATTGATATTACGCTGATTATTACTCGATTCGTCTTCTTTGAAAACGAAATTATTCAAATTTGTTATCACAAAAAAGCAAAAAGACTTTACAAGGGAACGACCAAGTTGTTGTTCCAAGGATTTAGACCAAACTTTTTTTGGTGATTTTACACTCCAAAATATTGGACACGTATAGGCCACTTCTTGTAAATAAGCCCTGGTTTCCGGAAAAAAATTATTAAAGCTTAAATTTTCCGATTTTTAATATTTTTATTTATTTTTGGATTAAATGGCTCCAGTATATCGTTCTGAACGCAATCAATTTTTATTGGAAGTAGCCTGAGTACAAAAATCGACAATGAGGTTCACAAGGCTCTGTGTTAGGTCCCCTTATCTTTTTAGTGTATGTTAAGGACATTTTGTGCACTGAAAATCTTAAAGAGCATTAAATGCCTATGCAGATATTTCTGCTCATTAGTCAGGAAATAGAAGGATATACAAAGGCAGATGCAATGTGACATGAGAATTCTTAGTAAATGGTTTGCTTATAATCGACAATTGCTTAGTAGTAAATCCAAGTTTGTGTACTTTAATGTCCAGAATTTATAAATTCACGTATCACTAGGTCGAGTGTTTTATATATAACTTATTTACACCATGCACCATGTGATGCACAAATTATGACAATGTAACAAAATAACATAAATTCACACTTGCCTAAGCACAGTTAATAAAAGTCGGTTCGAATCCCTCACGTGGCACTAACTTTTTTCATTTCAACCAAAACCTTACATAAAAAGATTAATTGAAAGAAGCAATTTGGTCAATGGACCACTAAATATAATGGAGTTAACAATAAACCTGAAAATGAAATATTGCTTCAATAATAAATCGTTATGGTTTATCGACTAAAAAAAAAAGTTTTTACACATTTAGCTATCCTGCACTATGTACCTTTTCTCTGGAGGCCAGGGGACATTTTTCAAGCACGATTTTTTAAGAAAAGATGCTCTCTCTTTTTCAAACATTTTGCAGGCGAACAATATATGGTCTAACGTTTGACATGTGCCACCATCACTTGTGCATTCTGAACCTTCTATAATGTTAAAATGATGAAGATACACTCTATTCCTTCCATGGCACGAAAGAACTTGGGTTATATGTTAGGTCAACGCTGCTACTTAACATGGATTTGATGGGGAAGAATGTCTTTATGTGCTGTCCCACAGCAGACAATGACCTACTTTGCTCCCATCTCTCCAAACGTCCTCAGTCACCAAGGCTTCCATGTAGGTCCTCGGTGCAATTCTGAAAGTCAACAATTTGGAGTCTTCGGACATTCATTTGGTCAGGTTGTCAGCTCTCTCGTTGCCCTCTTCACCCACATGAGCCTTTACTTTGCCGAATACCGCGTCTATTCCAAGACTGTGTCCGACTGATTTCACGCCGAATGAGCTTGACTAAGGGCATGTGGTTTCTTTGGTTCGCAATAGTGTCCAACACCACCTACGTGTCCTCAGAATTGTCGGACTTTCCACTTCATCCCCTGAAAAAGAACCATCACCACAACCACCTAACCATTCCTAGGCTGAGTGTCGGACGTTGGTGGGTCTGTATATATATATATATATATATGTGTGTGTGTGTGTGTGTGTGTGTGTGTGTATATATATATATAATAANATATATATTTCATAGCTAGGATTCAATGTTATATGACGTGCTAGGTTTATGTGTTATATTATGCCCTTTTAGTAGGACATATTATTAAAATGAAGAAAATAACCCAAATAAACTTCAAAATTAAACTATGTATATTTAATAAGAATATAATCTATGGATAACATATGAAAATATTTGTAATTTTTATTTATAGTGAAATGTTAAGCTTTTGTAGCATTGCAGATAGTGGCGAATTCTGCTGTCAGAGAAGCTCCTCCGACTAGAAAGCCATCGACATCATTGAGCTTGCTCAAGGCTTTGCAGTTGGCTGCATTGACCGATCCTCCATACACTACTCTGACATGGTCGGCGACATTCGACGACACGTTATCTGCGATCCAACTACGAATTAGCTTGTGTGCTTCTTGTGCCTGAAAAATTCATTGAATTAGAGGAAAAACTAAACCTGTTTTGAGCTTTAATCATACCTGGTCAGGTGTGGCAACGATGCCAGTGCCGATCGCCCAGACTGGCTCATAGGCAATGACCACTTTGGTCCAATCTGTCACACCGGAAGCGATCGATTTGAGTTGTTCCTGAACAACCTTAGCTGTTTGATTTGACTGTCTTTGCTCCTTTGTCTCTCCGATGCAGGCTATCACGTGAAGGCCTTCTTTTAAAGCATGGCTAACTTTCTCCGAGATTAACTGTATAAAAATAACAAATTACTATACACCAGTATTTCCCAACATGGGGGCCTACGTCCCACAGGGAGGCAATTTGAGTTTTAAGGGGGCAATTTTGAAAATAACTCATTTTTAATCAACAATTTAGTTGAAAAATCATCAAATATAGTAGCTTCTGTTTGCCATGAAATACTTGAATTTATTTGTCGAACCTCAGGTTATTCGATCCTCAAGCATTTCGTGCTATTTTTCAATATCCTGAAATAATTACTGTCGGTATCTTATTTTCATGGTGTTTTAAATAAGGCATATCCTCATCACTGCAGTAATTTAATGTATTGTTCATTAAAATCTTTGTAAAGTCTCACTTTTTCTTAATTAAGAAAATTTTATTAAAGTGACAAATAAATGATGTGGATATTAAATTGTCAATTATATTAATTTAGTTTTTAAAGGTTCTAATTCTAGAATAATGTCAAATGATTTTTTTTAATCATTGGGTAAATTTAGCATTAATTAATGTGTCGTGTTTAGTGACTGTTAATTGACGAACGTAATTAATTAGAAATCGTGAGATGTGGTCTGGTGTGACGTAGGTTTAGAAAGACATTTTCTTTAACGTGCTTCGATCTTTATTGAGATCATCTTCAGGGCCTGGGATTTTATAAACATTGTTTAAATATATAAATACATGTACAATGTGAAAAAATGAAGTTATACAATAATAGAACTTTTATACTGAATCAAGGTATTTGTACTTGCTCAGTGTTTGTTTTCTGTGTAGATGTGACATTATTGTGTGTCGTGTTGGGAGTGCCCGTGAAATATTGTGTATTGAGTACAAATACCTTTATTGGGTCTAAAATTCTATCATTATATAAATTCATTTTTTCAAAGATAGAAATACATTCTGAGAATCATATTATTTTCTAAGATTATAATTTACATGAGAAAAATGCATTTTATATGATATTTGGTTAAATTTGGAAATTTCTACCAAATCTATATGAGTTTTTTTCTCTTTACAAGAAAATTAGGTTTTATCAGATCTGTGAATTTCACCGAAATATTTGCTATTTTACTACGGAATTTTACTATTTTTTTTATTTCAGCTGGATATTTTTCAACAATCAACCTGTTAAAGTGCAAAAAGTCAACTATTTTCCAATGAAGTATAATTTGGATCTACTAAATGCCCTTTTTAAAAGTACTTTGGACTCGAATTTCAAGTGTTGAGTTCCAACAAACTCTTTAGGATCCATAGGATCCACCAACGACGTTTTTTTTTTTTTTTTTTTTTTTTTTTTACTGGGGCTTCCGACATCTGGGTCATTTCAGCCCCAAACTAAGTCAAGTCAATATTCTTGATTCTTACTGATACGATCTTAATACATTTGATTGCAGGTTCATTATATTGGTGCGCCAAAGGAGTATAACTTATTTTAAAAGCTTACAATTAATTGGTAAAAGTCAATGGCACGAGCGGGATTCAAACCCACGATCTTCGGCTTGATACGCCGCTGCTCTACCACTTGAGCTATCGTGACCTCGATCCACTTGGACACCAACTTCCCATCTTAACCACACCTTTTGAATTTTCCCTCCTTTTTGCCATTTTTCAAATTTCGTGTAATCAATTTGATTCTCGGTGACAAATGAAATGGCCATGGAGAGCTTTAGTGAAGGTATACTTCATTTTAAACTTATTCAATTCACTAGTTTCGTGGTCTGCTTGACCAATTAATATCTAATATTATTATTAATATTATTACATTTAATATTATACCACTGACTTTTTTATCTCAACTGAAAAACTTAATTAATTGTAAGATGGTTAAGCGGACCATGAAACTAATGAATTATTTTAAAAGTTGAAGAAAATCACAAGATGAGTTCAGATCAAATTATTTATTAACTCTCAATATTCGTTTGAACACCCTAGAAGCGGGACAGAGTTTTCGTGGTTTTAAAAATATTTGTTTATGTGTTTTATCAATTTATTGTGATCTTCCCAATAATTTTTAACTTTATTCAGTGAGGATTTTAATATTATAGATTATGTACGTTGGGGTTGAGGAGTGGGGCAGAAGGGATTTGAAAAAGTCTAGTGAGACAGAGCACAAAAAGTTTGGGAAACACTGCTTTATACTTATTACTTATTGGCACACAAACTGGTTAAAACAAACAAATTTTAGTCTTTTAATATAGAACCAATAATCGAAAACAAGGAATATTTCAACAGTATTAAGTTAATCTTAATGTGACAATTATAATCACTAATTTTTTTATAATTCTTTATATGTGATCAGGCTTATAAAATACACTGTGGGTTTATCAATTCACTTATTAGAGTAGAAACCGAGGTTGCCACACAAGATCTGATGGCAAATATGGCATTTTTTTTAATGACATGGGGTTCTTAAAAAGAAATATTTATAATTAAATTTAAATTAAATGGGTCCTAGGACATGCAGGCAAAAAGAATAATGTGACATTGCAAAGAAATATGCTACCAGTAGTCAATACAACTTGTCCCTTCTAACCCTTCTAAAGTATTCGGTTTTTTACTTTCCATTAAGAACAATAACTCACTTCATCAGTCTCGCCAAAAACGTGCCTTCGCTCTGAATGCCCCAGAATGACCCATTTAGTTCCAAAATCAAGAAGCATCGTGGGACTTATTTCACCTATAAATAGATCAAGTCAAAATTTACCAAAGTGCACTTACATCGGATTCCCCATTTAATTCAATCATATGAGATTATTCAGTGCTGTGCTTGGACAAATAATTGGTTGAAACACTTGCCTGTAAAAGCTCCGGTAGACTTCTTGAAACAATTCTGAGCCGCAAGTTGTACATAGGACGGTTTTTGACTCTGCACCATTTGAAGATAAGCAGCTGGTGGAGCCACAACAATGTCTGCAACAAATATACACAATAAAATAGATAAGTATGAAAAGCAATTTGATGAGATGGAAAAAGGCAAAAGGTGAGCAAACTGATTTTAGGATATATCTTATATAATAGGAAAGTTGTTGGACAGTTATAGGATTAAAGGTTTTCCTATGCTAAGTAGCAATAAAGGTTCAGAAACCAATGTCTACAGAACAACATAAGGCCTCCTTCAGAAGCGGTAGGTGATTCTCAACTAGTAAAATGCCAAGTGAAGACATTCCTTGGTTGGTTTCCACAAGGCAACTTGTAAAATCAACTTCTTTCCCCAAGGAAAGGTCAGTACAATGTTAGAACACGAAGAAGCAGAAGCACTTGCTGTTCAACATCTGGTGACTAAGTGATATTCCTCACACTTTATGCCTCATATCATTGGTCTAAAAAGTATTTCTTCAATGAATTGTTCCAAATTTAAATTTTGAACTGAAAACTAAATGTCCAGTTGTTTCTTTTGAGTAGATGCCAGTCAGGATGAGATTGTGAGCAGCACTCGTGCCTGCTGGTCAGCTGCTGCAGCGCTACTCCTTACACTATTCAACTAGCCGAACCCCATCTGAAATAAGCCTAAGTCTAAATCAAATAAAATACCCATGAAATCAGCTAAAAATTAAGAGAAAATGAAAGAGTACAAAATTTTCCTTCTTGATATACCAATGTTTCCAAAACCAGACAAAGAAACGATCTGGACTATACTGCAGTAAATATAAAAATGATAAATAGAAAAAAAATAGACGATAAGAGTAAAATAAATGTAGCTTGGTCATTTCCGATCATTTTGCACATACTCAATACTGAAGAAGATGAATAGCTGAAACAATGACAGAACAAACCATAGGATAAGGCCAAAATGATTGTTAACTACCAAACTCCGTTTATTTTATCACCCTGTCCTATTTCTCAATTTTAGAGGTACTGGAATAATAAAGTACTGAGCAGCACAATGGACAAAAGTTCAAGTGCTAAAGGGAGAAATCCTTATGACTCCAGATGGTAAGAAAAAAGTACTGGGAGATATCAAAATGTACGATCTTCAAGAGAATCTGTAGGCAAGGTACTTACGATAAATCTAAATGGTTTCATTTCAGGAATTTGTAAAAATTTCTTTCCCAATCCACACGAGATCAGTCGTGAAATTAAAACTGAATCGTCAAAATATTCTGTTATTATTCATTAATTCTTTATTTTCTTGGTTTGAAATTATCTAAATTGTGTCTTCAATGTCGGGGACTAAGTGATACTGGGTAAAGTAATCTTTTAAGGGCTAGTCAGTTTAGGGTTGCCGGTTGCCTCCGTCGACTCCCCCCCCCCAGTGACAGAAACCCTGACTATAATTGATAATTTTTTTAAAATTTATTTTACTTTGAAACTATAACTTTAAAAAGTTTAAATAATTTATATAATCGACAAAATATTTATAATCAAATTTAAAGATTTTTCAGCCGGCCATATTCCTCCTTCTAAAATGATTTTTTGTGATAGGGTTGCTTGTCCTCTTTCATACATTTTGCAAACATAGATTACATGTAATCTACCTAGGACTCAGATCAAGGAATCTCCAGTGAGTTTAGAGGAGGTGTCGATGATAACTAGACACCGTCCCCTCCTCGATAAAGCTAAGATGTTAAGATTAAAAGCATTAATTGCTAGAGATCTGGGTTCTGTTCTTTCCAGGCCTGGGGCTGCCACTCGCTGGGATTTGCAGGGGACTGCGCTCTGACAGGGCTAGGCCACCACCGACTTGTGTAGACTTAAAGCTTAGTGACCAATAAGTTGCAGCCATTTAAAAAAAAAAAAAAAAAAAAAAAAAAAAAAAAATTGTACGAAATAGAATTATGGAAATACTTTGCTTTTTTTCTTCAAATTTTACTTGCTAATTTTCTTTCTTTTAACATAACAGAAGAGGATTTAATAATAATATAAGCTAGTATAACATGAAAGGGCATTGGTGACAGCAATTATTAGAATGCTCACATGGCGATTCATCACTGTTTGAATCTCAAAAACAATAAATAAATAAATAAAATAAAAAATAAAATTATCTAAATTTTTTGCTTAGAGGGAACGTAAAAATAGAAAATTAATGACCATTTAAATTGTTAGAAATGCATAACATAGTACATCAACATGTTATTTTGTTTACAAAAACCTATTCAACTAAAAACAAATTAAATTTATTTAAAAAGTGTCATTTATGTAAATATATGTACTTATGTGTAGTCATATTCATTTAAAATAAACCTATTGAGTATTGCTTTTCTTATTTTACTGACAAACTTAGCTTTTGCCGAAATAATTAAGCGAAACAGTTAATATCAAAGGAGTGCCTAACGGTTGAAATTGAGAATTGACAAAATTATAATTTGGTTCTTGTAATGAAAGTTTTGACCGTTTATTGATTTTAATCAAATTACATAATAGATAATGTTCATCAAATTTGATAATACTTTATCAGTTTTATTTTTGTATATGAGAGTAATCAATTTGTGAAATAAAATTATTCTTTTAAATATTTGACCATTTAATTCAATCCAAAGCAGTACTGCTATTTATGAGATTTCAATTGTTCACTGTAACTTATGATCGTTAATTGTCTTTTGCTTTTTACATAACATTAAAAAGATAAATTTTCCAATAATAAATCTGAAAAAAAAAGATATCTCCTTTATTAATAACTTTTTGGGTTTTCTGAAATGGGGTATTCTTTTTTTATGTAGTTACTTTATATAATACATGTTTTATGCAAGTTAAATCATGGGATTGACTGTATTTATTAGCATGAATGCAGTGTGATGGTAGATGGTGGAATATATATACCTTGTTCTCCATCTACCTGAGTGTATGTAGGAAAGAATGCATTTATTGTTGTAGTTGTAATTAAAAATTGTGTTGTGGTCTGAAATTGTACAGCTATCGATAGCCTGGAGACTAGGTTAGATAAGATTTTTGATGTGGCTTAAATATTTTGTGCTCATCATAATATTCATCAGATTACTGTGCTCCTCCTCGTAACAAACTAAATTCAAGCATATTCAGGCTTTTATTACAAGCCTTTATAGACTTGATATTGGTTCTTCAGTTAAATATGATGGGTTCAGCATTTATTTTCTTGGCAATACGAACTTTTCCCTAATTAGACCGTTGCAACACAACTGCATTTCCCTCTTCTTCTGACACAACCTGCACACTATTTTTGTCAGTTCCAATATTTTAAAATAGCAAATGAATCAGCAACGTCCAATTGACAGATCAGCGATGATCCTGATTTTTGTCTGACTTTGCTTCAACAGGCCTATAGTAGTAAGTTATGGCACGTCAGAAATGGCTTAGGTCTGGCCTTAGAGTAGCGAAAATTCCGAAAAATTTTATACAAAAAAGAACATCATATATTTTGGTAAGTTTACATTATCATTAACTATTTATAAGTTTATTATTTTCTAGCATAAATTAATTATATAGAATAATTTATTCTTTGTACATAAATATAGTATATTTTATGTATATTACATTTATAGCTATTTAAGGGATATGGAAATTAAGATTTCAAATAAAACAAAAGGAAAATAAACAAAACAATTGAAAAAAACAAATTGACAAAAAAAGAAACTATCCTATTCTAGAATTTAAGTATCTTTCTTTCAGCTTCGTAGTTAGTTAAGCCTCACTGGATTGGTCTGTCAGACACAATTAGGCTCATTCTATCTCTAGTATGTCTGTATGAAGACCAACTACAGGTTCATCACCCCTCAGACTCACTAGCACATTAGTATCGCTATTTAGGAGGACCTTTTCGAATTCTCAACTTTAGTCGGCCTAGTAGGTTGTCACAGATATATGCAGGTAACATCAAAATCAACCAAGTTGTCACAGATATATGCAGGTAACATCAAAATCAACCAAACTACAGGTGCATCACCCCGCAAACACCCAAAAGAAAATCTCATCAAAAACATGTTAGTGGTATGGTTGGCTCCAATCAACTATTTAGGTCTGTTAGGACTTCTTGCCAACTTTAGTTGACCTATTAGGTTGGTCAGGGTTAGAAGCAGGGAGCATCAAAACCAACCAAACTACCGGTTCGTCATTACAAGAGGAAACCTAACTTGTAGTTTGGATGTTTTCAAAACAGTTTTCGTTGTTCATTTCGGTCTGCATTTTTTCGCTGCGTTGATCTGTCAGTCGTGTTTCAGCATTTTGCAGTCTTTAGTGTCTGACAGACCAACCCACCAAAGATAGGAAGACTAAAATGTTTAGTAACAACCAAATTATAAATTAAGATTATTATTTTTAAATTGTAGTGGATACCAGGAACTGGAGGAGTTCCTCCTGAACTCTTAGCTCTATACGGTTTATTGTACACTTTCCTAACTCCATTTTTGGGAACCTGCAACACGTATGTGAATTGAGACCCTGTGTTGACCATTGAAGAAACTCATTTTCGAAGGGATTTGGGACCAAATTCAGAGTCGCTGAGATCCAATCCACCACTTGACCTTTTATTGATGAGTGCCGTGTCAATTATCATTGCAGCCACTGGTCCTCATACGCGATAGAAAAAAAGTCCAAAGGTGACAGTGGGAATTGAACTTACAACCATGGGATCTACAAGCACAGAATCTAACACCTTAACCACTCAGCTATCACAGTCCCCCTAATAATTGGTTAATTAATATAAAAAATAATTCTTCCTTGCATACTTATTAGAAATAGTATAACATTATTTATAAGAATAATAAATTAAAAGGACCTAAAAACCTCATTCTCGCTTCTGATTTTGTAATAGTGTCACTACTACACCAAGAAAAAACAATTTAAGAAACAAATGCATATTAAGGTCTTAAATGAGAAATCTAACTCCTAATAAGTATTGAATAAAAAAATTATATTTGTTTTTCCTAATTTTGCCACTTAGCATTGGATTGAAGTTAATATTGAAACATCATTTAAGGCATGTTCCTTGAAAGAAAACTTTTTTGACAAAAATAAATACATTCTTTTAATAAAAATCTGCTAATTATAATATTGTAAAGGCAATGGGTTATTTCTGAAGTGTTTTTGCTAAAAACCCGAATCCCAAAAAATAATCTTTAAAATGAAATAATCAACATTCAAAATTACAGACAATTTATTTTTAATTAAAAAATAAAAAATCAAATACCAGCGTTTTCGCCGTCCACATTATTTTTTAAATTGGTCAGAATCTCTTCTACGTTCTTTTTGAGCGTGTTCATCTTCCAATTCCCGGCGCAAAAGTATTTCCTGGTCATTTTGAACGGCAAGGCTGAACGAGACTAGAACAAGTTCAACAGAAGTTTGATCAATGGGCACTGCCACCGGACAACCACTTGACATTTGTTCCTGATTTTTGAGGTTTCGGGCGTTTTTCTTCCGTTGATAATTAGCGCTAGGATGGAACATCGATGTTCGATGGTGAAAACATCGAAATTCAATGCACTATCAACATTGAACAATGCTCTTCTCTAATTTTTTTTAAATTAAATTTTACATTTTGGAAAATCAGGTCCAGCAAAACATTTTTTGTTTGACGGAAAGTAATACTTTATTCGTTAATGAGTCAGTACAAGTACATAGTTTACAACAAACATTTTAAAGTAGCCAATAAAGTTACAACTTAAAAGGAACACATTATATAGTGAATACAATATATAAGTATCATCAATAGTTTAATAACAACATATAAACGTACATAAACATAAGAATTCTTGATTACTGAGTTGCAGGAGAACATAAGATGTTTAGCTTTGATTATATAAGCTTTGATTAAATAATTCTATGTAGAGAGAGAGAGAGAGAGAGAGAGAGAGAGAGAGAGAGAGAGAGAGAGAGAGAGAGAGAGAGAGAGAGAGAGAGAGAGAGAGAGAGAGAGAGAGAGAGAGAGAGAGAGAGAGAGAGAGAGAGAGAGAGAGAGAGAGAGAGAGAGAGAGAGAGAGAGAGAGAGAGAGAGAGAGAGAGAGAGAGAGAGAGAGAGAGAGAGAGAGAGAGAGAGAGAGAGAGAGAGAGAGAGAGAGAGAGAGAGAGAGAGAGAGAGAGAGAGAGAGAGAGAGAGAGAGAGAGAGAGAGAGAGAGAGAGAGAGAGAGAGAGAGAGAGAGAGAGAGAGAGAGAGAGAGAGAGAGAGAGAGAGAGAGAGAGAGAGAGAGAGAGAGAGAGAGAGAGAGAGAGAGAGAGAGAGAGAGAGAGAGAGAGAGAGAGAGAGAGAGAGAGAGAGAGAGAGAGAGAGAGAGANGACAGAGAGACAGAGAGACAGAGAGACAGAGAGAGAGAGAGAGAGAGAGAGAGAGAGAGAGAGAGAGAGAGAGAGAGAGAGAGAGAGAGAGAGAGAGAGAGTGAGAGAGAAAGAGATAAAAAAGGAAGAAAACAAAAATAAAACCAAAAAAAGATAAAATTTGGGAGATATTCTTATCCATACAATAATATAATAATAGTTAAACTGAAGAGATCAGACTTCTTTTTCTCTCTTCTTCCTTTCTCGATTTTCCTCCTTTTTTTAAATTAAAAGTACATCAGACTTTATAAATTTATTATGAAAGTCCTCAACTGTAGAAATAGAAAATAGAAATATATTTATTAAAAAACTTTTTCACAATAGGGCTTGGCTCCTTTACAGTGACTAGACAAATATAAAAAAGTTAAATAAAAAAAATTTTAAAAATAGTTTACAAGGCAAAATAATTATTAAACAAAATTTGTATGAATATAAGTAATTTAACATATTATATGTTATATTATAATAATATGAATGAAGGAGAGAATCAGGTGTAAAAGAAAAAGAGGATAGCATCAAGATCATGTAGAGTTAGTTTGACCAAATCAAGGATTGTTTCCAAAAAGATTGAAAGCTTCACGCCAGAAAGCCTGACTTAATATGCCACGGAAGGGAATTCCATGGCTGCACCCTAGCAACTCTAAATGAATCATTCATAGATTTGGATATATGATACAAGCTTTTTATAGTATTTAAACTAGTAGGAATTAAAATTGAATATAATGAATAAGTGTGATGAGCAGAGCTTATTTTTTGTCCCAAATAAGTTGAAGTTGAGTGAATATCCTGAGGTCTAGCAAAAATTTAAAAAAAAAAAAAAAACAGGTTGAAATTATATATATTTTTTAAAAGGAACTGTGATACTTTAAGGGTTGTTTCTTAGATCATACATTCGATTATTTTGGCAAATATTGCAAATTTAAAAGCTAAAAACAAAAGACAATTACTAAATATTAAGTAGGCGGTGTGCTATTTTAAATTGTACAGTCCACAGAAGAAATCTGAAAAATATAAAACAAAAGAAGTTTCTCCGAAGTATACATCAATAATAATAAAGGTGCTTATTGTCAACTGTTATTTACAAATTCAATTCATTCTATTTATCATTTATTATTATTTATCATTCTATTTATTTACATCTATTCATTATTTACAATCTTGAAAAAAAAATATATTGCTTTATATCACACAACAATGGCTAACATGGTCTATTAAGTTGGCCCTAAAATGACAGAAATTGTAACAATATAAGGAAAATATAAAGAAACAAAAGAAAAACAAATATGATTATAATTGGTATAATTATAATATTATAATTAATTATAATACTGTTATTAATAATTTGCAAAGTTAACAAATATGAACATCTACTTGCAGTATTGGAACTTACAGTTTCTGAATTTGATAAAATAAGTTAAGTAAAATAAGAAAAGTTTAGAATTAAAAAAAAGCAAACATAAGTTTCAGCTTTGTAAGTTTATGTTCATATTTACCAATCTTGTGACTTATTAATAATAGTTTCAAAGCATGAAGGGGATTTACTCCTTGAAATTTTAATGAAGGAACAGTGTTTTCTTTTCTTTCAAATTGGCCTTATCCCTGATTTTGTAATGTAAAATTGTAATATTAAAAGCTGATATCAGTTACATTAAGATAATTGATATTTCTGCAAAAAGTAAACCCCTCAGTAATCATAGACCATGAAAATATCTTTAACCAATAAGAATTACTATTTGTATTAGTTTCAAAATAATTTTATTATATTATTTTATTAAGTTTACTATGCTTTTGTGTTTAAAATTTTAAGCAGTATTCTTAAAAAGAGTAAAATCGCTTATTTTTCAATAGTTACTCTGGGGGGGGGGAATAAAAAATCATTGCACCGGTTTGCATAATTGGTCAAATCGGAGATATACAATGAAAGTTAATATTAGAAAATAATGTGGAAGTGCTCAATTGTTCTATCTAATTTTGCTATTCAATTACATTTGGGGCAAAAAAGAAAACCCAATTTTTTTATGGGATTACGTTTTAAAATTAATGTGGTAATCATGGCAGTTGACATTTGTCAGGTCAATAAAAATGAAATTGCTACTTCTTGGACAGATATTACTGGAACATTGGTACAACAATGTCCATTTGTCTAATTTTACTGTTTTTTCAGTTATACATTCAAATTAAAGGTGCAGATGTGAATGCTGACATAAAAGGATACGACCTTCTTTATGAAAAATATGTGGGTCATTATGTTTTAAATTTTAAATTATTGTTTTAAGAAAAATTTTATTTTAGGAGTTGTTAGAGGCAGAGACTGATAAGTGTATGGCAACTGATGGAACTCCTTACATAACATCTTTGTTTAATGAAATATGCAAATTATATTTAACAAATCAAGTACCCGTACTTTTATATGATAATGACTATTCAGTCAACTTAAAATTTCAAGTAAGTTTTAAAAAATTATAATTAGAATTGGACATTTTCTTGTCAGGAGAAGTAATAGGATACATTGAAAATACTGAAATGTGATTTTTTCTCATTATTTATTACATTTCAATATACAGTTCAACAACGGACAATAAGAATTTTTATTTAAAGAAAATAAACAATTATTTGGTTTGTGTGTCACATTTTTTTAATGTTTGTATTATGGCTGATTATCTAAACTGATACTTCATTTTAATAAAAACAAACACTATTAATTGAAAGTTTGTTGTTGATTTTTGAAGAGGATATTAAATCGATTTCTGAAGATCTACCCTAAAAGTTTAAGACATGGTTTAATCAACGTGACAAAGGCTGTTCCACAAGTTCCAAATGGTATTCTGGATCCAGGACAAAACGAGCAGCTAGCTTTTATCATATTCAGTAAAGAAATCGAAATAGGTGCACTCGCGATAGTCGACAAAGTCGAGATAGTAACGAAAACCATCTTTATTCCAAAATCATCTTTATACCAAATAAAAGAGTTCCTTACGAGGGATATCGCTCGCAAGTTCCATAACATTTTGGTGCTCGTCGATCCGACTTTAAAAATAGACATTTACTTTCAGGTAAAGACTGGAAATACCAGTTTGTGGAAAGTAGATAATTTTTGTTTTCTTCTAACAGAAAAAAGGTCAAGTGCATAAAGAGTGCGACATAAATATGTACACTCACCAACTTGCTTCAGACTCTCTTGGCGGAAGCAAGGCGATTATTCTTACATCTTGGAGGAGAAATAATTTTACAAGGAATGTCAATTTATTCCCAGATAAATTCAAAACAGGGTTCAACGGTATGCACATGGTGGTATCAACTTCTGAAAATGCACCTTTTGTATTTAAATCGTAAGTAATTATTTTTTAACTGTATAGAATAATTATTGAAATATATATTAAAGTATAGAGTTATGGGGCTTATAGCTTGTTTATCTGTAATTATTTTGATCTGACCAAACCAGCAAGAATACAGTAAAAGTAATTTGGTCATTATCAATCATTTTGGTTTGCCTATTCAACCAAAATTATTGATAATGACTAAATTACTTTTAATATATCCTCCCTGGTTTGGTCTATCAAACATATTATGGCATTTTGTCATCGAGACCCTACCGAGATCCAGACTATTCATGAGTAGAAAAGTGGTCGAGAAACCTCTAACACTTTGAACACAAGTAAGGTGCATCAAAACCAACCAAACTACAAGCACCCCACGGACCCCATAAGAAAATCTCATCAAAAACACATTAGCCGGCTCCAATCATCAGCTATTTAAATCTGTCAGGAGATTTTTGATTCCTTACCAACTTTAGTCAACCTAGTAGGTTGGTCATGATTGTAAGCATGGAGAATCGCAACTAACCAAACTACAAGATCATCACCACAAGAGTGGACCTAACCTGTACTTTGATCATTTTCGATAATTTTGGTCTACATATTTTTGCCATATTGTCTGTCAGACATATTATGACGTTTCACCATCTTCAGTGTGCATCTTCACCCAGGAAGGATAGGCAGACCAAAATAATTAATAATGTACAAATTACTTTTACTACATCCTCACTTGGTTGGTCTGTTAGCTATTTTATGGCATATCTTCACCAAGGGCAGACCAAAATGATCAGTAGTGACCATATACAGGTTTTCTTCGGTATGAGAAATTTCACAGTAGAGTAAAAGTACTTTCTTCACTTTTTTTGGCTTCTTGTTTTTCTTTTTATGAATGGTTAGGTTTTTCTTATTTTAGGCCTTTTTTTAAAGGTGTTTAAAGATATTTCCAAATGTATGAAATTCCAGCATCCTGTGCCATTTTCAAGTGCATAGTTTATTTCTACTTTAAAATTTCTTTAACCATCTTTCAAAAAGGCCTAAAAATAAGAATGCTTAGACCAATGATAAACATATTACTGTCAAGAATGTCCAATATCACAAAAATTTTTCGTCCAATCTTAGTAATATAATCATTATCATTTGGATTAAAATTTAAAACTAATTATTAGTACTTATATGTCAGGAATAACTGTATTTGTACAACGTTTTCTGTCTTTCATTGTTTGTAGAAAAGGCCATGATTCTGGAGAAGGGTACACCTTAAACAAATGGGATGGGTTAGAAGTCAGGATTATGAATTTAATAAGTCAAATGCTGAATTTTAGTGTGGAATACAAGGAGCCGGATAGTGACCCAAAGTAAAATTGTAAACTTGTAGAGTGGAATTGTAGTTAATTATTTTTTTAACTTTCAGATATGCCAATTTATCATGGACTGAAAACTCTCTTAGGCAACTTGCATTGAAACAAGTTGATTACGCTATTGGAGGAATTTATTTAACAGCAGAAAGATACAAATTATTCACATTTACGCATCCATACTCCCAAGATTGTGCATCTTTCATCTCACTCGCATCGACAGCTTTGCCAAAGTGAGGTGTTTTAAAATGAAAATGTCTGTTTAAAAATAAAGTTCTTGCCAGGTATCGGGCGATCATGGGTCCCTTCCTCTGGGACGTCTGGCTGGCTTTAACTACCGTTTATTTACTTGCAATTTTCCCCATCGCCTTCTCAGTCTGGCACACGGTGAAACCTTTGATCGAAGACATTTCCGAGTTGGAAAATATGTTTTGGTACGTTTTCGGAACGTTTACAAATTGCTTTACTTTCACGGGACAAAATTCATGGACCCATGCTTCAAAAACCGCAACAAGGATATTCATAGGTAAATACTTCCTGTCAATTTGTCAAAAAATTTTTAATTTTTACCATTTTAGGTTCATACTGGGCTTTTACAATTATTATCACAGCTTGTTACACAGGATCTATCATCGCGTTTATCACTTTGCCTGTATTCCCAGAGGTGATAGACTCATCAAAACAACTAGTTGAAGAAGAGTATAAAATAAGTACATTAGGTAAAGATTTTTTGACTTGTCAAAATTTAATAAAATATTTCCAGAATCTTCAATATATGTTACGCTAAAAAATCACTGAGCTGCTGAAAAGCATGTGTATTATTACTATAAATACTACGTCGGTATTTTATATTTGGGGATAAATTAATTTTGATTATGTTGTTTATGTGCCAAAATTTTAGAAGGTGTAGGTTTAATTGAAAATATAATTTATATTTCTGTGATGTCCTGGCATCATTTACTAGTCAGGCAGAATTTACCTTTTCTTTATTTACTTCTTTTATGATATTAATCAAGTCTCTATGGCAAGACTTCAATAAATCTTCTGTTTTTTTTTAGTACTACATCTTCTGAAAAGTTAGACTAAAAAAAGCGATAAAGACTTGATAGTAGAAAGAAGGAAGAAAATACATAATAATGTTCATACATAATACTTCAATAACATCAGTGAGCCAGACGAGATCAGATAAAAAACAAAACAGAACTACCTATTCTCTTAATAATAGTCTTTTAGTTTAATAATAGAGAGTCTTTATAAAGTCTCTTCAAAAAGACCTAATTAGCATAAAAGAAGAAAATAAAGAAACAATAAATGTTGCATGATTTAGCAGTTCCATAAAGATCTTTTAGGTCGGTGTGGAAGAAAGGGATCATGATCATGAAAAAAAGGAAAAATGATTTTAGAGGAAAGATACCAGAACATTGCAAAACTAAGAATTGTATTTTCAATTAAACCTACATTGGAAATGTTGATGTAAAAAAAAAAATTTAGTACATAATGGAAATAAAAAGAAAAATAAGACATAATTACTAGACTTCGATAACATCAGTGAGGGTACATGACAAAAAAGATGATTATCAGTATTTAAATAGATACCTGAGTAAAAACATAAAAGAAGAAATATTGTCTGATAGCAGAAAAGATACTGCTTTTTCAAGGACTTCTGTGTGTATCCGTCAGGCTTGGGCTTTTCTTCTCCCAGTAGTAGGAATCTCATCCAACATACGACATGGGATGCTGTCTCTTCTTCTCCCTGGTAATATCTGCACAGGCTTGATTCTGCCACTCCAAGTCTATACATCTTGAGAGTCTTTTGTGTCCAGTTAGCAGTCCAACTATTATTCTAGTCCTAACACATACTAAGTATAGAAGTTCTGCTCTTAGTCTCTGCGATGATTCGTTGATGAACTTTTTCACATGCCTCTGTTCTGGGCTTCATTCCCATTGAATGGAGGACTTATTTTCAATCCATTGTCTGATAGATCCACATTTTTGGCAATTTAGCATGTCACAAAAGGGTGGATCAATAGGTAATCTGATAAATTCAAGCCCCATTGAACTTTTCTTGGCCAATTTATCAGATTATCAAGTCTCTCTGCCCTGGTACTCAGACAAGGGTAATTTTGTGGTTTTCCCCAATGTCTGACAGGGCCGTAATGCAATTCCAAAGACTCTGGACTTTACTACCGATGCAGTAATCGTGTTCAGTGCTGCCTGGCTGTCTGAGAATATGGTTATGCTTCTGTTAATGTTTAAGCCTTTTTATCTCCTTAGCACAGTGCTCAATAGCCACACTCTTCGCTTGAAAGACTGGCATATTGCCCAAGACTTATATGAATTCTAGTCTTTGGTTGACTTACATAAATACCTGCTGATAAATGACCCTTGCTCGGTTTTTGGCCCATCTGTAACCAGAACAGCATTAAATGAAATCATTTCTCCAGTCTGCTTTATCAGGTTTTAGAAATTTTTTGTCTAATCTGTATTTAGTGGTCATGATGCCAACAGGCATTCCCAGAACCCTGTCTGCCTGAACCTCTCCTCGAAGCTTTAGTTGCTCCTTGTTATGTGAATTGTGAGTACTGAGTAGGCTATTGGAGCCTGTTCCTGCATTAGCTATGAATTGTGGCTCTGGCCAAACCCTGGATAAAGATAGTGGTGGTAGATTGAGAAAGACGTCCAGAGCAGCAGTGGCCATTCTCTTGGACTCAGTGATGCTCTAACATGCTAGTCTCACCGCCCTTAGTTGTAATGTCTTTGTTGCCAGACAAAGAAACAAGACAAAAAAACAATGAACATTATAATTAGGTTGTAACCAATTCTTTATGTCTGGTATTCTCACTGGGTTGATCTGTCAGTCGTGTTTCGGCATATTGCCATTTTCAGTGTCACAGGAGGAAATTTCACAATTAAGATTATGTATAAAAGGAACAAAGGAAGATGAAAAAGAAAAATATATATTAATCTGCATGTTAATAGTTTGTGTTTTGGTTAATTTTCTTGACATGTTTAGAAAAGGATATCTGGTTAGAACTTTTAACTGGTAGTGTTGACCCGGTAGCCCATGAATTGTACAAAGAGCTGGACTTTGTACCAAATCTTATTGAAGGGTTAAGAAACGTAACAAGAAACATCCATTCAGAGCACAAGTCTGCATTTTTCGGCTCGAAATATCTCCTAGAATACACTGTCAGAACAAATTATACTCCTGAGTAAGCTTTGTGCATTTACAGAGCATTTGCAAAAAAACAAGAAAATGTTTGCTTTTAGGGATTCCAATAAAAGGCTACTGTTTCATTTAAACAAAGAGTGTTTCGTCCCACTGTTTTTGGGAATTGCCTTGCCCAAAAAAAGCATGCAAGTGGAAAAAATAAACCTGGCGTTATCAAGACTGCTCCAGTCTGGCTTTATGTTTAAAGTCAGCCGAGAAGTTGAGTGGGCAGTTAGCAAAATGAGCACAGCCAAATTACTTAAAGTATGACTAACATCATCAAATAATTTTTGGTTTCAAAAAAATAAATGTATTTATAGGCGAGTATGTCAAGTTTCCGCATAGCACCTGAAGACCGAGAACTGACTCTAGATGACACCCAAGGCATGTTTCTTCTTCTTGGTGCTGGTTTCGCTATAGCCATAGCAGCCCTGATGGCAGAAATACTGGTATGGTGTGTCAAAGAATTCAAGCAAACAAAATTCGGACAGCCTTCATTGAAAGAACGCTCCTTGGCCAAAATCAAACAGAACTTGGGCGAAATAAAAAGGTGTCTTTTTGATCCTATAGACCAGCTTAAAAGGTCGTTTTACGAATCGAGGGAAAGAAATGTTTCAAGTTTATTTGGTAGCGGTGTCTCGATACCGGAACACCAAAATGAAGCACTCTGGATCATAAACCTAAAACCACCTCAAGAAAAACCAATCAGATTAAGGAGTTTCTAATTATTTTTGAATTAATTAATATTGAAGCATTAATATTGTAATTTTGTATCAAATTAATTACAAAATCAGGGATAATTTGAAAGAAAAGAAAACACTCAGTCCTTTTGTCATGACTTTGAAACTGTTAATGTTAATATTGACAATGTGCATAATATACCCGGTTACCAGAAAAGTTAATTAAGTTAATTTGTTAATTATATTAAGTTAATTTAATTTAATCAAACATTTGATTTGATTTAATTTAATCAAACGTTAATCAATATTTCTATTTGCATAGGAGGAGTAGATGTTTACATCACATCGTACTGAGTGTAATTCTTCAGTTTATTAAGAAAAAGTGTCTTGACATTTCACTGTAAATTATAAAATATTATCTTAACTTCAAAACCCATAATTCGTGTGTGCTTATTGTATGAATTTAAGCTCATGTACACTTATGTATAAATTTGCACTGCATTTGGTGATGAAACAATAAGTACAAACACACTGCTGAAAATTGGTCCAAAAAGTTTGCTTCTGGGAGGAAAAGGATGGATCACGATCTGGTAGATCTGTCTTGCATGACAACAAATTGAGGGAAGCTGTTGAAATTGATCAGGAACTTGGTAGTGTTTAACGGAAGTGATGAAACCATTCACTCTAACTTACATCGACTGGGGAAAATGTGAAACAAATGGGTTTCTCATAGATATGGAATCTGGACAAATGGATTTCTCATAAATTGAACAGTAATAACGTAACAGACTTCCACGACTAAACATTTGCCTTTTATTACAAAAGAAGACTTTTTTGACTGGATTATCATATTTAACAAACAAAAAAAAAACAGATCCTAACACTGGTAGGTTATACCATTGGTGGTCACCAAATTGATGCAAAAAACAAATATTTACCAACAAAAGGTTGTGTTGGTTGAGTTCAGCAGGCATTGTGCACTCCAAACTCCTGCTAGGTCATCACCGCAGAAATCTACACAAGCCAACTACAATGAGTGCCCCTTGGACCAGAAATCACCTGTTCTTGTAAATTCAAAAGGAGTTAATTTTCACCAGGACAACATGAGGTGACAAAGAGATGATAATGAAGCTTGGTTGAGAAGTCTGATCACACTCTACATACTCTCCAGTCCTGGCCCCTTCTAACTTTCGCCTTTTTTTTAAACAATGGTCAATGATATGTACAATTGCAAACACCTGGAAAATGAGCTGAGTTTATTTTTTAGGTCCCTGAACCCCAACTTTTATCAGAAGGGCATACTGAGCTAATAACTCGGGTACAGGTTTACAGGTAGATGCTTATAGACATTATTTCACCCAAATAAAATATCTCTAAACTAATTTTAATTATTCGTAATCAAAAGCTTGACAAAGCTTTTCTTTTCTTTCAAATTGGTTTTATCCCAGAGTTTCTAATGATCTTGCACTACAGTATACATGTTTTGTAGTAGATCATGTTAATATACATGGAATGCAGTGGCTGATTGTTGCTAGCCTCTTGGTATAATTTTTTTTCTGTTGCATCATTCACTACATGTGTAGATAGTTGTTTGTAAAGCCAACTTGTATGATAATTAAATAAAACTATGCAATTAAAACAAAGAACCAAATTAAAAAAAAAAAAAAAAAAAAAGTGTCATGATAATATACATTTGCACATTTGTTTTAAATTTAATTGTACTATTAACAGTTATATAGTCTGTATACTATGATATAATAAAAGTACATAACAAAAAACATTTTGTTTTTATTATTTACCAGAATGAATGTTTTTATTTATAAAAAATAAAAAACCACCTAGGGAAGCCAAATTAAATTCAAGATTACAACAGTGTAAACAATACATTTATTTATAACAAACATGAAAAGTAAAAATTTAGTAAAATAAAAAATTGACAATAGAATCTCAAATTTTACTTTTTAATATGGCCGGAATTAGCACTTTAATGATATATGAGTTTTATTTCTAAATTCCTCATTATTAAATAGGTGAGAGTGTCAACCTTTGCTGCCTGGTCAATTCGGGATGCCAGACATCGACAATAAGTACCAATCGATGTGAAGTACCGTTGTGCCACACCTCATGCTCGAAACTGTCATCAAAAATGAATACCTTACCCTCCTCCCAGCTTCTGCAATTAAATTGAACCATTTATTTTTAAAATGTTGCAGGGTTTAAAAGGTTACCATTCACTTTATCTCATCGGCGACTCTAATGAAAGTATTCTTGGGGACGATAAGACCAAGGTGAGCCCTTAATCGGCAGTTGGTGGGACCGCAGTGGGCCCAGACGTGCGTCCCGGCTTCCATGACGCTGAACTTGCTCTGGCCCCTTTTGCAACTCCTGGCTGGCTCAAATTCCTCAATTATCGAACATGTCTTTGGCGTCTTTAGACAGTTTTCTTTGTATTTAACACCTAAACAATTATCCATAGTTAAAACACGCTTTTGATTTTTTTTTATAATAAAATTTAATTCAGTGTAAAATTCAAATCTATAAGAAAAATATTATATTGGGTTGTCCGGAAAATAATGCAGGATTTTGGTATTAAACAAAAAAAAAGAAACTAGTTACTTTAAAGCAATGTTCTTTAATCAAAATAATTTCCCATACTCTCAATACATTTCTCCCAACGTGTTGGTAACTTATTAATTCCGTCTGAGTAGAATTCAGAATTTTTAGAATTGATAAAGTCAATAAATGCATTTTCCAGTTCCGTTTGATTTTTGAATATTATGTGTTGTAAGTAGTGGTCCAGGTGTCTAAAAAAATGGTAGTCAGTAGGCGAGAGGTCCGGAGAGTAGGGTGGGTGAGGCAAAGTTTCATAGCCAAGCTCCAATAATTTTTGTGACGTTACACGTGACACATGTGGTCGAGCGTTGTCATGCAACAAAATGGGCCCTTTCCGATTGACCAAAGAGGGCTTCATTACTGCCAATTTCTGATGCATGGTATTAATTTGGTTACAGTATGATTCAGCATTGATGGTTTCGCCAGGATTTAAGAAGCTGTAGTGTATTAAACCAAATGAAGCCCACCATACCGTAACCATTACCTTTTTTTGATGAGTTGGGGGCTTTGGAAAATGTATTGGAGCTTCTCCTTTGTCGAGCCACTGTCCAGAACGTCTAGTGTTATCGTAGAGAATCCACTTTTCGTCACATGTAACAATTCTGGCCAGAAATGGGTCATTTTTGTTTCGACAAAGAAGTGATGCACAAACATCAAAGCGCTGATTTTTTTGGCGATCGTTTAATGAGTGTGGAACCCAATTTTCGAGTTTTTTCACTTTTCCAATCGCCTTGAGGTGGTCAGCGACGGTCGTTTTACTGACTTTGAGTTGCTCTGCAAGTTCTCGAACAGTTGTTTTGGGGTTTTCTTCCACCACTGATCGCAGAACATCATCATTAAGAGAGGAAGGCCTTCCACGACCTTCTTCATCTTCAAGGCTGAAATCTCCCTCCCGAAATTTTTTAAACCACCTTTGCACAGTGCACTCATTAACACAACCCTCGCCCCAGACTTGGTTAATGTTTCTAGCCGTTTGGGCTCCGCTTCGGCCGAGTTTAAACTCGTAAAAGAAAATCGTACGAAATTCTCGCTTTGACATTATAAGGATGACTGAATTATTTCCAAGTAGCGGAATGCTACAGAGGTAAACAAACAATATCATTTGGAAGAGGATTAATAAGTGTTGACATTCATACAAATGAGTAATCCTGTAAACGTAAACAGAATATTTTATATAGATTTTTTTTAATGAAAACTTAAAATCCTGCATTATTTTCCGGACAACCCGATATTAAGACATACTGATGTCTTTGTTTTCTGACAATAATATGTAAGTATTCATCAAATGAAGAACTTGACATGATTAAATTACAGTTGAACTGATAATATCATCAATGATGTATTTCACTGAGAGAGTTATTTCAAAATTCACAATATCCTCAATTCTTCCAGACTAGAAAGAAAATATCAAATATTGCCTTCATAATCAAATGATAACAATAAATCACTCTTATTATAAAGATTGTTTAATTTATCATAACCTTCTCGGGACTAGGGACAAAATAACTCGTTCTCATTTTTTTTAAGCTCTAGTTGGACACTCACAGCATCTATTGGTCTGAAGTTGAATCCAATGTGCAGCAGACAACTCGGTAGTGAATAGAGACCTTCCACACCCTTCCTTTCCCGTCCTCATCATCAACGAACCACTCTTTTCTCCAAGTTCTGTTCACAATCTGGCCTTTCACTCAAACTTTGTGAAATTGCAACACATTCCTTTTTCTGGAAAACCATTCTGCCACTATATCTAAATCTCTTGGGAATGTCATACTTTTGTCTAACTGGTGCTCCTGAGGTTCCCAATTTCCTATCCTCCTTTACATCTACTTAATTGTATTTCTCATTTTCACTTCTTGTCTGCCAAGTGCCTTCAGTTTTAGTTGGCCTAATTTTAAATACGTCATGAGAAGACATTTTATTTTATTATTAATTTAAAAAAAAAGAAGAACGTGCTTTAAAAGATTTGTTTAGGGGGACCACAGTAGCCAAGTATCCAGCGTGATAGACTCTCATCTCATAGACTCTGCGGTCATGGGTTTGATTCCTACCATCGTCCCTGGCCCCTTTTTTCACACAAACCTTCCCCCCCAAAAAAAACGCATTGCATACGTATAAACGTTCCTTGACTGATATGCACAGTTCATAAAGCAATTTAAAAAATATTTGTTAATCAGAAAAATGAGTAATGTATGACTTTTTAATGTAATCGTAACTTGGTTTTACATTCAAACTTTCGGTAAATCCAGAACAGGTTCAATAATTGTTTGCTTATTTAAAAACATGAGGAGGCTATTGTTTTGTATAGCTAATTCGTTTAGTAAATAATTAATAATTAATTTTGTAAAGATTTTATAAACTGTATTGAACAATTAAATGAGGGCATGTAAAAGCCGAAGTAACACATTTCTTCGAATGCTCGAGTAACCCTACAAAGAAAAGCTCAAGAAATGTAAAATGGTGGAGCCAGAGGGTAGTAGATGCCATGGGGAAGAAAGCCCCACATAGAGCCCTCTGGGGAGGTTTGCAAATAGCCAGTGCTGCAAAAGGGTGGTCATAGGACAGTCAACAATTAACACGAGTACAGAATAGTCAGTAATTGAGTTGACCCTGGCCAGTTGGTCACAAGTCAGTGGTTAGAGTTAGTCACTGGTCAGTACTTGAAAGTAACTCAGAGTTAGAAGTTGGATTTTGAATGCGACAGGACAGTTGTTTGCAAAAACATAGACAAGAGGGCTAGACCTTTGCCAGGTTTTTATGGAGCAAGTGAGCTTGGGGGGGGGAGTGTCTGGATTCAGCTTAGATACTTCCTTTATGGATTTTATGCAGTTAAAAATGTGAAGATCTGGATTACTTTATTATCATCCATAATGACGGATAAGTTCTTATACAATATCAGAAGGAGATTGGATCTGCCTCTGAATAGTTTCTTATTAACAAAACCGAAACCGATTTTGAACATTATAATACAACGATAATGAAAATCACCATTCAAACTTGACCGGTTGCTACGTTTTTCGAAGAATCATTTCTTGGAACTATTCCACTGAAAACCTTACAGCATTGTTCGAAGTGCAAGAATAAAAAAAATTATTTGGACCTTTGACAGTGTCCTCGGTGTAAAGGAAACCACTCCTTTTACTCCTGCATTGAAGGGAATGCCTCTGTTCCCATCATCCTCTCAAGGTTCAGCAGTACTTTTTTTTTTTTTAGCTGATTGGGACTAATGATAAGATCAATGGAATATTGGGCATCAGGATATATCAATCACACCCGTTCCAGGACAACACAGCGGAGCTCCATCCAGACGCACTACACCAGGCACATCGCTTCCAGTTCCAACATTACAAAAATAGTTGGCTTATTTATAGCCATCCCTTAAGAAAAGACATAATATTGAGTAGTTTTATGTTTATTTCGACTCTGAATACTTTTTTAAAAATCTACCTATTTATTGCCGCTGTGATTCTAAAGATGACGACAGTAAGGTAGACAGGCACTAATGATGACGATGGTTAGAGAGACACTGGAAGATGGAAGATGCAAAATTTGTTCTTGTTTTGTAAATATAAAGTCTTTTAAGGAGTTTTGCATATTCAATTCAGTTACTACTCTCACAAATATATATTCAGGGTGGCCCCAATCGATTCAGCCACACTTCCAGATCTTATAGGAAGTTGAACGCTGAGTAAAAAAGGTCTTATGAACCTGTGTCTGTAAACCCTTCAGTTTCGAGCTACAGACAAAAAACTATGAAAAACCATGTTTTTTGACATTATTCGTGAAATTGTTAGTAAACCGTTAGCCTGACCGTAAAACAGCTCGAAACAACATCTGTAGAGGATTAATTTCCGCATCGAATGAGATTAAAACCAGCCTGATCGGCCAAAAATCATTTTTGGCGATTGTTGAAATTGTTAGTAAACCATTAGCCTGACCGTAAAACAGCTCGAAACAACATCTGCAGAGGATTAATTTCCGCGTCGAATGAGATTAAAACCAGCCTAATCGGCCAAAAATAATTTTTGGCGATTGTTCGAAGTGAGGTGAAGGGGTACACAAAATTCACCATTTCTGACATTTTTATTGAAAATTCACAACCTGAACTGTTTTCTGATGGGTGCCCCTACTGAATGAAATAATGTACGAAAAATTTGAACGGCTAACCAAAGTTGTGAATTTAGAAAGCCATTTTCCGTCATAACGTTTCGATCTTTATTGAGATCATCTTCAGGGCCTGGGATTTACAAACATTGTTTCCATATTACAATTACATTTTGGATGTGGAAAAGTGAATTTATACAATGCAAAATATATTTTTTTATATATTCAATCAAAGTATTTCTACTCACTCAAAGTGTTTGTCTTCTGTGTAATTGTGCCATTCTTGCGTGTCGTGTCGAGAGTGCCAGTGAGATTTTGCTATTTTGTGTTTATATACGTTGGATTTTGAAGGGGTGGGGAAGGATGTCGGTATAGAAAAGACATTTTTGTATAAGGCGTCGGCTTCTTTGAGGTGAAAAGAGCCGACGAAGGGAAAAAATGTGTTGGTAATGGTTCGGCCAGATTATCCTTTCAGGATTATATAGAAAGGGATAAATAGGAAAAGGAAAGCTAAATTGTTGGGAAATTAGACTATGTGAAAAATATTTGATGTGTGGAATGTAATGTGATGATATAGGTATGTTATCTGTATTGAATTTGATTAATGATATTGGCGTAGCTGCGACTGAGTTTACATGTATCTGTTCTGTAATTGATGCTGTGTTTATCTCTGTTGATATAAACCATTTCTAAGAAATTACGTTTATGTTTGTTTTGTTCTGTGTGTAATACTTTTGGATTTTTGAAGTCGAAATTGTGTTGGTGTTCAAGATGGTGGGTAGCGAGTGCTGTAGGATTTTGCTTGGGTTTTTTGCAATCATAGATATGTTGCTTTACTCTCTTGTCCAGATATTGGGATGTAAGACCGATGTAAGTTGCCGGACAGTTTAAACAGTTGATCTTGTAGATTACGTCAGATTTATTTGTTATTGGTGTGGGATCTTTAATTTTGGAAAAAAGTGTTTGAATTGTTTTATAATTTTTGAAAGCTATTTTAAAGTGGGCACGATAAAGATAATGTTTTTCTGAAACCTACATCACACCAGACCGGATCTTACGATTTCTAAATAAAAAAAGGTAAGAGTGATTCAAAATGGACGCTTTTGAATTCTATGCATGTAAATCAGGTTGTGGGGGTCATGTAGCGGCTGAAACTATAGGCAAGGGAATGCATTTTAGAATCCAAAAATCAATCCCAAAAAGATTAAATAAATACGATACACAGTTGGTCCATTATTTAAAAAAACTTACCTCTTGCAAACAGTTCAAATTGCTTCCAGTCTCCAGCATCTTTTAAATTCTCAGCCTCATTTTTAAACGCGCCTCTTGATTTGAGGGCGGCCAAACCTTCATTAAGAATAATCTTCCAATTGGATTCAAGTTTTCTGCAAAATTCATTTATGTTAAGAATACAATAATTATTATGACAACAAATAAATTCTTACGTACTTGAAGAAATTCTGGTAAGTGGTCTGTTCGTGAGTCCACCAAGGCCTTGCTGTCAAATTGTCGATGTTGTAGAGCGATCGCTGGTATTTGGACCTGAACATGCCCTTTTCAACTCCTCTGGAGTACACCTTCGACCACAATGGAAGTTTCAATGATCAAAGTACACTTCATATGATTAATGTACTTACAAAGCTATCAAGTTGTTAAAGCAAGGGAAGAAAAAAATAATGAATATTTTAAAAGAAATAGGCAAATTTGAAGGTTTTTTTTAAACACACCTCCATCGCCTCTGATGATTGTCCTGTTCGAGCCAGCGCATCCCCAAGATGAAAGTAAAGCCTAGCATCTCTAGTAGCAGGAATGTCGGCCAAAAGGCCTTCTTTCAAATGAGGAATAGATTCTTTCATTTTTCCTGCGAATATTATTTTTTAATTAGCATGTAAATAAAAAAATAAAATACAAATCTACCTTGCAATTTAAGAACAAGGCCATAATGTGATCTCGCCATGGCATCCTTAGGCCATATCGCAAGGACTGATTTGAAAACATCACCAGCTTCCTGAAGTCTACAGTAACAGATTATTTTAAAAATTAGGATATAATTATGATTCATTATACGAATGATTAACAATTAATTTAAGTGGCCTTTTTTCAAAATACTTTCGAAGATGAGAAATACCTGTTTACCATAAGGTAGGTGATGCCCATGTCGTTTCGATAATCGGGTTCATTTTTAAACGTGCTTATTAAAGTTTTGTGCAGTGGAATTGATTGCATGTATTGTCCTGAAGTATAAATAAACTACTGTAATATTTTTAAAGAAATAATTAATAAACAATAAACTATTACCTCTAAATCTTATTCTATTGATACACCTTAATGCTGCCAATTTTAAAAGGGTCGGAGGAACTTTTGGTTGATTGACAACCATTAAATAAGTTTGGATGGCTTCCTGTAGTATTGCATTGCTCCGTTTCATTTCTGCTTGTTTATCGAGAATTTGAGCTTTTCCATGAAGTGCACGAGGGGAATTAGGCCTAGTTCTTAGCACGCTCTCGTATATCGCAAATGCTTTATCCAAATGCTGGTGTGGTGGAGGGAAAGGAAATTGTTAAAACAATTAAAAAAACAAGCACATGCGTGGTTTAAAAAAAACTACTTCACATGATAATTATGTTAAATTTTTTGTGTAGAACTCCTTAGGTAATCAAGAAAATTACAAAAATGCAATGAGATTTTTTACACATAAATACAAAAGAACAACATTAAAATTTCTTTTAAACACGCATACTCTCCATAAACGTACATAAAAAAATTAAGCCAAGATCTATCCTTTGCTATAAAATTAATGTTTTAAAATTATTTAAAAAAGAAAAACCAAACAATCCACTAAATAAAAACTTCTTTTCTCTTCCATTTTGCAGAGATGGAATACCAGTGAGTATAAAAGGTGGTAAACTGTGGGTAAATACATCACTGATTTTTCAAAACTGCAAACCATACAATCACATATACAATAATCTAAATGCTTATTAACCTAAATTGAGGTAAAAACTGGTGGTTTTCATACTGTTACAGGTTTTTTAAATGTGACTAGCAACATTTTTTATTTTATTTTTCACACATTATTAAATATCCAAATTAAGAAAACAAAATAAAATAGCAATAAATGCAAAGAAATTTGTAAAAAGCGTTCACATGTTAGTACAATTACTAATTAGTAAGGTTACTAATTGTTGTAGGTAATAATTTCTTGGAGAAAAGCAAAAAAAAAAAAAAATTAATTTAAAAAATCAGTTATATTGAAAACTAAACAAGTTAGGGTAAAATTTAAAAATAGAATTCCTGAAAATCACCCGTTTATTGATAAACCTCTTATGAGAATTTTATTTTGAAAGAATAAATAATTAATTCTAGAACTGAACTTACTTCTAAGTTAAATTCCTCATCTGCCATGTCCAGCTCCTGCCTTACATTCCAATCCTCCTCATTTGTAATATCAGAATTAACATACACCTGAATGATTTAATTGAAAAAAAAAAGAAGTAAAAAATAGAATTGAAGACAAGAAAAGGATGGATCTGTGCCCTGGTACCTCTTCTTCAGTTGCCCTGGGTCCTCCTCCACGCGTTGGTTGAAGTTTCGGAGCAGGAGTTTGCACTACTTCATCGTCTGATTCTTCTTCGTATTCTCCCTCAGATTCTTCTTCTACTTTTCCCGAAGTTTTCAATGCTATTAAAATAAATATTTACCAATCTTAATTCTCTTCTAAAACTTAAAAGGTTCTCAGTTTGATATGTTTGAAATATGACCCTGTGATCCAAGTTGAGACAGGAGCACCTATTGCCACCTATTCTATTGGCTCTTGAAACAAATCGTATTTTCAATAGGAGTAATTAACATTTTCCTTAGGGCGTTCAGAGTGGCGGGTATTGAGACTCAGGCCATTGGTTGGCACCATTTTCTAATGGCTAGGATTTCATGGATCCCCACTTTGAAGCAGTTTTTAGATTCAATGTGAAACCAGCTTTTAAAAGATCGGGTATAGCTCCATTGACACTTGAGAAAATTGGATGTAAATAGTTTTATTTTTAACCAACTTTTTGCTTTTTAAAAGTAAGATTTGTTTATTTTTACATTAAATAAGATAATTAATTAAGGTTTTTTAGTTGAGATGAAAAAAAGTTAATGGCACGAGAGGGATTCAAACCCATGACCTTCGGCTAGATATGCCGCTGCTCTACCACCTGAGCTATCGTGACCTCGATCCACTCGGACATCAACTCCCCATCTCAACCCCACTTTATGAGTTTTCCCTCCTTTTGCCATTTTTCAAATGTCGTGTAATCGGTTTGGATAAAAGAAAACAATTTAAAAAACCAATTAACTCACTCGACAGTTGGCCTGGAAAGTATGGAAAGTCATGAAATTGAAATAATTTTCTTTATTTTTAATCTAAAGAGTGTAAAAAGATTAGTAACAATCTATAAAGGTAAATGACAAGTTATTAATGTTGAGTTTACGTTTTAAGTTGACTACTTAATACCTATAAATACACGTTACATATTATTATGTTTATGTACATCCAAAAAACTTTTATGTATCCTAGTACTTTACTTGCTCAGCCAAGCAACATCTCAATATTTCTTTTATAGTTTGCACTTCTTTCCAATGGAACTTCACTAAGTATTACTGTATAGGTAAATTAAAAAAGATTTTAGTTCCAGCAGATTTTAATAATTTTCAAACTACTAGAACTAAAAGAAATAAAAGTTTATTGAATTTACCTAAACAATAATAGATAGTGAAGTTCCATCGCAAAGTAGTGCAAACTATAAAAGAAATATATACACAAGTGTCCCTTTTCATTTTATTTTTATGTATTTAATTTTGTCTTTAGCATTATGTGAGGTGTATTTTAAACATATTAATTAATACAAAATTATCAACATAGGAAACTATTGTAGTTTTTCTTTACCACTTGTGAAATGCAGATGCTCAACAGGGAAAGGCGTTTGTTGCAGCCCATAATAAATCCGCTATTCGGAATTTGTAACGATTTGGCGACGATGGGTGAAATTTCATCTTAATTTCGTCCCGATGTTAAATTCAGCAGGCTCAAGTCACACTCATTGTAAAACGTAAATAAAACACAAATACAACTGTAGTACTGTACTGTTTAGGAGTCGACCATAACAACCGCACGAGACTCGCAGGTGGGGGAAGAAGACCAACTGTTGATCCTGCCATCGTTTGTGATGTCATCTATGATCGCTCTTTTTCGAATATATAACCCGGCCGAATTCGAATAGAGTTCATTAAGTTCTAAGCTGTATAGTCACAAGGGCACGAAACCAATTCTTTAAACTTTCAAACAGAACCTTTTTAACATCTACTTTATGCTTCTTGGGCAAATTGTTTTACCCAAGTGGTCAAAACTGACCTCAAACCATAAGAAAATCAACTAAAACTTATTCCGAGAGAAACTTTAAAACCTACTAAACTAAATTCACTATTTTCGTGGTCCGTTTGACCAATTAATACATGACAATTAATTAAGGTTTTTAGTTGAGATGAAAAAAAGTTAATGGCACGAGAGGGATTCGAACCCACGACCTTCGGCTAGATACGCCGCTGCTCTACCACCTGAGCTATCGTGACCTCGATCCACTCAGACATCAACTCCCCATCTCAACCCCACTTTATGAGTTTTCCCTCCTTTTGCCATTTTTCAAATGTCGTGTAATCGGTTTGGATTCTTGACGACAATTGAAATGGCGACGGAGAGCTTTAGTGAAGTGTACTTCATTTTTAAATCATTAATTCACTATTTTCGTGATCCGCTTGACCAATTAATACAAGACAATTAATTAATGTTTTTTAGTTGAGATGAAAAAACCTTAATTAATTGTCTTGTATTAATTGGTCAAGCGGACCACGAAAATAGTGAATTAATGATTTAAAAATGAAGTACACTTCACTAAAGCTCTCCGTCGCCATTTCAATTTTCGTCGAGAATCCAAACCGATTACACGACATTTGAAAAATGGCGAAAGGAGGGAAAACTCATAAGGTGGGGTTGAGATGGGGAGTTGATGTCCGAGTGGATTGAGGTCACGATAGCTCAGTTGGTAGAGCAGCTGCGTATCTAGCCGAAGGTCGTAGGTTCAAATCCCTCTCGTGCCATTAACTTTTTTTCATCTCAACTAAAAAACCTTAATTAATTGTCTTGTATTAATTGGTCAAGCGGACCACGAAAATAGTGAATTAAATAAGATAACAGAATTGATGAATCGACTGTTAAATGCTAAAATACTTTGAGTTTTTAGGGTTTTGTAAAGAAAAATCTCCATAAGTTTAACTTGTTCTCTTTAGCTGCTGTTCTCTTTATTTAATTTGTAAGTAATATTTTTTATTAAATTTGGTTATTATGATGATAAATAATGGTACATATAAAAATTTTCTACTTTAAATTTTTTTAACAATGTCTATTTTTCATGGTTTTAACTTTTTTAAATTCATTTTTGCTCATTTTAAAGAATGGAGTTTTACTAGGTAGTGCTGTGAAATGAAGAATATAAAAATGGTACAAATAGTTGACCTTTCATCTCTTCCAGATGCTTCTCATGTATATAGCTTCTTCTTGTTCAATATTCCCCAATAGATAAGAAGAAGGGACTGATCGGGATCTGGTGTTTAACATGTTAGGGCACTGATTTGTAAAGAAATACGGTAAAATTTTGATTTAAAAAAAATCTTTTTTCAAAAAAATTTCAAAAGGTAAAAAATAAATAAATAAAATAAAAATAAATAAATAAAGGGGGCGTTGGTGGCCGCAACGGTTTAGGCATTGACACAGCGCTCATCACTGTAAGTTAAAGGTCCCGGGTTCGAATCCAGCGGCCCTGCATTCAAACCCAACATATTTACAAATGGGCTTTTTTTTCAAAAACACCGGCACCCCGAGGGTTCATATAACCTCTGCTGTTGCGAACCCTCGTAAAAAAAAAAAAAAAGAAAAAAAAGACCACAGTTATGGTAACAAAGCTATAATAAAAATCCAAAAATCCTTCCTACAACAAGCTTTGAAAGCGGGATTTTTTTAGAAAAGGTGCGTTACTCAGGAATGACATCCCGTATATGGAGAAGGGTTTAATGCGTTGTTCCAGAATGAGTCGTAATGAATGTGTTATGGAATACCCAAACCATCCCATCCATAGAGTCCTTTGTCTCTTGCTGGCCATTTTCCTACTCCCCTACCTAAAAGTCTGGGGACTAAAAGAGCAAATCTTTTGCATAAATTACACCAGAAGAGCTGATGAGTAAGGTAGAAAAGTGAGAACATGCTTCTACTTCCTAGGTTAAAGTTATACTGTGCCCCTATTTCTATGAAGAACTCCATTTATTTATTTTTTTAAAAAGAAATTTTAACGTTACTACTTCAAATAATGACAAAACAACAAGAAAAGCAAAATAATAATAAGAAATCATTAAAATGCGGATTGCATAGGAACTTGGACATCTTCTGAGGTGGATACTGATTTAGTTGAAAGTTATAATTTAAAAAATATTTTTACCAAGCTTTATAGTTAAGGAAGAAGAAGAAGAAAAAAAAAATGCTGGACAGAAGGTAAACACTGTTTCAGACTCCCCGAAAACTTTTTTTTTCCCTCCAAAGTCACTTACTTGTTGGCTTTTCATCCTCTTCATCTTCTGGATCAGTTTCCTCTACTTCATTTCCACTTTCCTCTTCGCCAACACTTTCAGCATCTCCTCCATCTGAATACTCTTGGCCGTCACCATCGTCAGACTGCTCTACATCACTGCTCTCGGGGGATGGCTGGCCATACTTAGCGATGATCTTTTCATACACGTCTGGATTGATTGGCGCTTCGTCTTCGCTCATCTCTTCTTCTTCCTCTTCTTCGCCTTCTTCCTCATATTCTTCCTCCTCCTCTGGGTGCAATTTAGGTTCTGCATAAAGAAAAATAGAAAAATAGATTATTTTTACAATACTAGCATATTTTAATCTCACCTGGAGTGAGAGATTCTGCAAAATATGAAGGCTCACTGAAAGCTGTAGCCGGTGTCTCAACTGGAGGTGAATATGGTGGAGGTTCTTCAACAGGAGGAGATGGTGGACTTGCCACCATCTGTGGCATTTCAGTTGTGAGATGCCCTTCTTCTACGTACCAAATCAACAAAATAAATTAATAAATATAAAATAAAATAAGTAAACAATTTTTTTAAAATTTGTTCAAATGAATGAATAAATAAATTAATCTTTTTGAAAGGTATTGGCTGTGATAAAAACTTTTCATAAAGATTAATTAACTGAAAAACTTAATTGGTCAATTGGACCACGAACTGTGATGGATTGAATGAATAAAGGTAAAACTAAAACTCTTCCAATTGTAAACAATTAAGTTATTAATTTCCAAGTGATATTTTTAAAATGAATTAAGAAACTAATTCAGCTAAACATTTTTTGCCAGTTCATTTAGGTTATTATAAATTATTTTAACAAAAAAAGAGCATAACTGTTTTAGCTAAAAATGTTAGACATTAACATGCATATCAAGCATGTCATGAATGAACCAACAAAAAATGGATTTATCAAGATATTCTAAAAATATTGTCAACAGTTTCATGAAATGTATGGTGTTAGTTAAAATCACACATCTAGTGCACACAAAAAAAGCACAACAAATAAACACAAATAATCTAAATTGTTTGAAACGGGCTATAGTAGAGAGGTATGCAACTATAAGTCTTGTTAGTTGTATTTAATAAAACAACAAACTATACGGAATATACGAAAGTGGTTACAAACCCCAACTGTTCCATTTCTTAACAAGAACTACATGGGCGACAACAATAAGAGCCACACCCACTCCAAATTTTACAGCCACTGAAATCACAATCAATATACAACAAGACTTATGATTTGCATATCCCTCCAATTGAAACAGTTTTTGTTGTTTTGTATATGTTTAATGCTTCAGTTTGATTTTTAAAAACCCCACATACTTCCTTCTGTTTCTTCATCTTCTCTGTTTTCATCTTCTTCATCATCATTCTCTACCTCTTCTTTATCAGATTTTGCTTGTTGTTCTAAAAGTTCTGACTGAAATATTTAAAAAAGGTACACATTAACATAAAATGAAAGTATAATTTAGAGACTTACAGCTTCTCTTCTAAGAGCCTCAATTGCCTCTGGAAATAATTCTTCCTCACTAACATCTTGATTGTCTTCCATTTTGTTTAAACTTTTTGCTAGGAAGGTCCCTTTAAAATAAAAAGTTACAATGAGCATAAGTTCTTTAAACCACAGAAAATATTCATAATTGATATTTAAATTGTTAGATCTGCACAAATTATTAAATAAACCAGTACATCATGATTTTATTTTGTTAAAAAAATACCTGTTAAACAAGAAACAAATTAAGTTCTTTTTAAAAAAGATTTAACTCCACACTCACCCCATCATTTATAATTTCTACAAATTAAGTTCGTTATTAAAAACAGATACAGGTCAAGTACTGTAATGAGTTAAATAAATAACTAAAAATCTAAATAAAAAAGTCATCGCAAATTGTGGTTCAAAATTAATTGTTTTTCTCCTTCGTGAAAAAGTGACATTGGACCTTTTTAAGATTATGTTTTTAGTAGAATATTAGTCAAAGTTTAATTTTATTTTCAACCTTGAAGACAAACAAATCTGCAAACTGGTAATGAACACTCCAAAATTATCTTGTAGCGTATGAAGTTAAGCCAAACGTTTTATTCATTTTTCACACATTTCCAAAACTTACTGGAAGTTTCTTGCTCCTCGCTTTGTTCTACCTCTTCTTCTTCTTCATTATCTTCCTCTTGAGACAATTCTTTCTCATATTCTTGAGAAACATTTTCTTCCTCTTCTAATGGTAGGTCCTGTTCTTCTTCTTCCTCCTCTTCTTCTTCCTGGTTCTCAGAGAAATTTTCAAGCCCTTCTTGTTCATCTTCTTCTTGTGAAACAATTTGATCATCATCTTTATCATATTCCTCTTCCTCATCCTGATCATCATTCTCACCATCCTCCTCCTCCTCTTCTTCTTCCTCTACTTCTTGATCATGAGAAAGATTGTCTTCTTCTTCCTCTTCTTCAAGTTCTTCTGACACTTGTTCTTCTAGTTCGTTATCATCTTCACCAGAAGCCTGTTTCTCGACACCTTCTTCTTTCTCAGAACTACCTAATAAGTTGAAATCCCAACTAAACCAGCTTGATGGAGTTTCATCCACATCAGAACTCTCTGTCTCTTTATTTTCCCAACCGAAGCTACTAAAATCGAGACTAAACCAACTTGACTTCTCCCCCTCATCTTGATCATGATCATCATGGCCATGATCATCTAGATCATGTTCATTGTGATCATGATTGTCTTGATCATGTTCATTGTGATCATGATCGTCTTGGTCATGTTCATCTAGTTCTTCATGTTCATCGGAAGCATGACTTTCTTGTTCTGTTTCGCCTTGTTTACATCGTTTTACATTAATTCAGTAAAATGAAGGGAAAATTATTGTCTAGTACAAAGTAAACTTACCATAAAATGGTACCATGGAGACCCATTCTTGAACTGTTGCTACCCATTGTGTATCTTTTACCAAACCAGCTTCTTCTGTAATAGCAATTCATGATTTAAAAAAATGTCTCCTAGATGTATTATTACAATATTTTTTTACCATCAGTGGTTCCTCGATATTCTATCAGCGTCAGCCCAACTACAACACCTATTCCTGCTAATAGCAAGAAAAATATCAACTTGGTAAAGACATTGCCTCCAACTCCGTCATCTTTATGTACATGAACTATTTCATCAGTAGGGTGTGTATATTTTGCAAAAATCTCTTCTTCATCTGCAAATGATATTCAACATTATAAGCTAGGGGATTAACAATAAAAAAGTATATTGCCTGAAAAAAAGAAACTTTGAATCAAATTCGCCCGTAATAACATATTACATTTTATGATTTGTTAAGTTATGTGTTGTAGTTTAAAACAGCATGCACTTCAATTTTAAACCTTAACCTTATACTACAATATAACTTACTTCCATCAAAATTTTAATTGTCAAATAAAGGTCATCCCATAAATATGTCACAGGCCCCACTGTACAATTTAATTTAAGTACAGCAAAACTTTAACTACTGGACCTTGTTGAAATTTGGGTATGACCTCAATAAATTTGTCATGCAAGAAAAAGTAACAAATAGAAAAAGTTCCTATGAAGGAAAACTCCAAACTGTTACAGGATAAATTTTTGGACCTGGCTCTTCAGCACAGCTCAATTTCCTTATGATCTCCCTTTCCTCAGCATATTCTTCGGTACGTCGTTGGTCCAAATGTCCTGATGATGACAAAAATTTATTTTCTTTTCTGTTAAAGGGTTATGGTCAAGTAAAACAAAGATTAATCATTCATCCATTGTAGAAATATATTATTAAAAAGGGTTTGTTTTGTTTATTTTATAATTTGATGATGTTCACCCAAGAAATTAAGCATTGGTAGTAATTATAAGTAAATCGACATTTTTAAGATAATTACAGCAACTTTTATTTTTTATTGATTCATCTGTCACTAAAACAATTACATTATTTATTACACTATTATAACAATTTTGTGTAATAGAAGAGTTGATTTCTAGAATTCCTGTAGGAAATCAAAGTTGAATATACAGTTGACTCTTGTTAATTTGAATATCTTGATAATACGGACTCCTCAGCAGGTAAATTGAACAAAATCTGTGCATTTTGATACACTCGGTAATATGAAATATTTTTCGTAATGGGGGAGAAAAAGCATGCTATTAATCGAAATGGAGCACTTCCCATCTTTATAATTTGCACTTTTTTTATATTCCTCTAAATTTCCACATTTGTTTATTTCCTTACAGCCCAACGTTTCTTTGACTTTTCTCTAGTTTGTTATATTCTGCAGTCAGTGTTTTGTCAACATGTTTTCAGCATTGGTCACTTTATAAAACCATTTAGACAGAGGATTGTATGCCAGATGTAGGATGCCAGATTGTAACAAAAACCACTTTACGGGTTTTTTAATAAAATGTAATAATGTTCAATTTTACAGTTGATCTATTCATTAGTTTTATTATGTTTTATGTATGTACAATTTAAGTAATAACTTGAACAAATGCATATCAACTCTTAACAATTTTTTTTTGTTTCCTCTTGATAATACAAACACCTTGATAATTCGAATTATTTTTGTGATCCCTTGGGTTTCGAATTATCAAGAGTCGACAGTAATTGAAAAATATTAAAAAAAGATATTACTATAATATGTAAATTAACTTTTTAAAAATTAATGTAAAAACAATGAATAGAAAAATAATATTAACTTTGATTATTGTTTAAACCATATAGTTCAGTTTATAGAACTATGAAGTGACTGCCAAAGGAGAAATGACAAATTTTTCCATAAACAAATTTGTTTATAAATATCTCATTATTTTATGTTATACCTAACTCAAAGTAACTATAATCAAATAAATTGTAAGAGGTTTTGAGTTATTTTTTAAAAGTTGTTCATGCAATATGTTGACTGGGTATGTTTTTATGGAACTCACAACAACCAGTTTTTTTTTATTTAAAAAATATTTATTTTAGGACTACCTTGTCCTCTCCCTAACATTCTTCCAGATGCATTGCGTGCAACATTCTTTCCATTTTTTGAAAAACAATTTCCAGACCTTAGAAGGTGTCATTGACAAAAATTTACTCTTTTTTAAATTAAAAAATTGGTTGTTTGAGTTCCATAAAACATACCCAATCTACAATATAATCAAATACTCGGAAGAAAGATAATAACTAGCTTTTTAAAATTTTTCTAAACTTTATAATTGGGATAGCTATTTAAAATTCGCAAGAATTCTGCCTTGATCATCAGAGAAGATGTTTCTCTTTTGTTCAATAAGGCCAGATCTTCGATAATTATGGCAGTAGGTAATGACCACAGTGGAATATCTAGCAATTTAAAACCTTCAACCACCAGCAAGGTATTCCCTCCTATTATATTTTATTTATAATAATTATTACAATTACAATTCATTAAAAGAGATGGCCATGATTATTTAATAAATTCACTCCATTTAGCACTGTAGACGATTCAATATACATGTTATGACCACATCTAATATGGACGCAAATAAATTCAATATAATATAAAAAAAATAGAAAAAATTAATATTCATTAAAAAAATTAAATTAAAAAAACAAACAAAAAAAAAAAACAGGCCCAATGATCAGATTAATCATCGAATCATCCATATTTGCCATCATTCTTTGATCAAAGGTTGTTCACAGAGAACGTAAAAAGTGTGCAGTAAAGAATGTCAGATCCAACTTGTCCCAAAATAGATTTTGGACTCCGAATGTTGGCAAGGGCTGGGACACTAATAGAAACCAAGGAACACGGTGAAACTACAACGACGTTTGGCCTTATTTATAGATCCAATTACAAATATAATATTCGATATTGACGGTTGAAAACCACATCTTTGAGAAGATACAAACAAAGCAAAAAGACTTTGGTTAGATGAAAGGATTCATTTTCAGTAATAAAATGGGTGGGAGGTAGACATTGAACAAAAGTGATAAGCCAAATAAGTAAATAAATTAATACATTTTATATCTGTAACATGGATGATGGATAAAAGAAAATTTTACTTGATTTAAGTTTTATGGCTTTTAAAAAAAAGTCAAATTTGTGATTTTTTATTGTATTGCAAATTAAAGGAATATATATTAATTTATGGTTAAACAAATTGGAACAACATGTTTCCCAAAATTGGCTTTTATGATTATGCATATATTATACTTATTATTTATCACTACTTATTATTTGTTTATATATTATAATTATATATTATCAGTTTGTGGCAGCACAATAAACAAATAGATAGAAATGTATTTAGAAATTTAAATAGTAAGCAGAAGGGCAAAAAAAGAAGAAAATGAAGATATGAAAGGAAAAAAATCAACTTATTAATATTAACATTTCTTGTGGTATCACTAGTCAGGCTAAATGCTAAACAGATGTGTATAGAATAGATATAATGCCCCCCCCCCATGTAGCATGTCATTTTTGACTAAATTGTCTGCGAATAAAGATTTTTTCTTCAGACAACATTGAGGTAATGAAAGTATACTACAAATAAATAAAAGTCCAACTGCAAAACAATAGTTCTTTAATTGGCAAATGAACTAATTCATCGACGATTTGTGCGTAAACGATTGAAATGATTGTGTACATTCAGGAGAAATTTAGGCTGAATTTAATGTTTAAACAATGCCCACCTTGACTAGTTATAAGTATAATAATAAATAAAATGTGTAAATTGTAGAAGTTTTGTTTATTAAAGTTGGATATAAATTTTAGAAATATATTTATTTCTAGGTTGGCTCTATCCAATCACTTTGCCCTTTTGGCCTATCCTCACAATTTTGATTCAATGTGATTGAGTCTATTTACAACTGCACTAATCCTTTATGAAAAGATAAACAGCACTATTTCATCAATGCACAATACCAATTGGCGGATTATTATTCAGCTAAAAATTAACTTTTGTATTAAATGACGACTTCAAATTAAGAAAATAATACTAATCAACTATAATTTTTATTATATTAATTGTACTCAGTTCAGCCAGGTTCAAAAAGAGTTTTGTCATCACCCCCCCAAAAAAAAAAAAAATAAATAAATAAAATTAAAAAAAAAGATAAAACTCTAAAATTACTATATAATAGAAATACAAAAAGAACTTTGCCTCATTGCCTCTTTTTGAAAATTGAGGACAAAAAAACACATATGAATTAATTCTCACGAATAATTTGGATCTTCAGATTATAGGTGAGTAAAAAAGTGTTGATACATTTAACACTTTAAATTGAAATAATTCCATCTGTCGTCCTCGTAAAAATATAATTAGTCTTTTTAAGATTTAAACACCTTATTTAGTGTTGTACATCTAGTCTGTTGAATTGAAATATATTTTCTGTAATTTGTTTATATCTAAAAAACGTATGGGTGAAATAGAAGCAGAATGTTTTGGCCATTTTATTAATTAACGAATAACTGTTTTTTGTAAATTTTAGGTTGGTAATTTCCGATCGTTTTGATCACCCTGCCCTCCACTGTTTTGTACGACTTGAGGAGGACCTTATGAAGATGGGAGCATGAGAATGGACATAGGAAAGCGGAGGTCGGCTTTTGAATTTTCGAGAAGGCCTAACTAGAGCTGTAGCATAACCAGTAAAACAGTAAGTATCCTCGCTGTACTATTTGAGTCATAAGCAGGGAAAGACAATACCCAGACGAGAAATTTGTTGGTGTTGTTTTCTTCCTGCTTATAAAAAAAAAACCCACTAGTGAGGATGGCAAGAAATTGAAATGTGAATTAATAACTTGACAATAACTCAACAACTTGAAATTCTATTGATCCAGCTTCTAAAACACACCACCAAAGTTAGCAAGAACTTGAAATATGTCTGACAGACCAAAATTTTCAGTTGCGACCAAGATGAAGGTTCATCTCAGACACAAGTAGAATTCTTACAAGATTAACTAAATGTAAAAAAAATTCGGTTTCAGTAGTCTAACGCAATGACTTTGCACTATACATCTCAAAGGATATGTGGATGTAATAAATTTTTCAAAAAATTAACTTGATTTTGTCAGATAAAAAAACTTGATTGCTTTTTAAAGTAATTTTTTAGCGCTAGGTATAAACCAATAGTTATGTATATTTTTGTTTAATTTGTGTCTAAGAAAATGTTTAAAACGCGTAGCAATGTTTATCAATAACTCGACAAAACGTAAAATAATAAGCTATTTTTATACTAAATTCGCCATTTTTTTGGCCAATGGCCTATCGGAACAAAAGGTTCGACGCGGCTCATCCTTTTGGTCTGCATCGCAAAAATAATACAAAAATTATTTAAGGAACTTTTGATCGAGTCCCGCGAGGATCATTGACCGGAATTTGCGTTAAGCGAACTCGTCAAGTCATAAAGGGAATTATGAAAATATTGATATTAAAAAATAATAAAATAAATAAAGAGGGATAAAGAACAAACCTTTTTTCCTTCGTTTGTCTCTCCTTTTCCTTGGCTGTGCATCTCCTGACATTTTGCAGCAGACGACAGCCCGAGAGCCGGTCTACGGTCGCTCGTTGATTTCTTTATATTCCCTCGTCCAGGGAGGCGCAGGATTTTGAGCCAGTCGAAACCGGTGAAAAAGGAAAAAAAAAAAGAAGAAAAGAAAAGAAAACACGAACAGACACTCGAGAGAGGTGAGCGAAAGGGGATCACGCACCCGCCCCCGCCTCGGTCAAAAATGAATCCCCTGCCCGGGCGAACTTATCCGGGGCAACCTCAAAAGCCGGTTACCCGCCCGGGTATTCTACTAACGTCAACAACTATCTGCGAAAAAACCCCACATCACAGCAAAATTTCCCTTTTGATCAAATCTATACTTTCATACAGTACATAATATATATTTTTAAGAGTTTTTGATGCAGAAGACAATTCTTTCCTCCACTGCGACCTAAACAGGTCTATTTTGGAATAGGTACACAATAATCAGTTATGGCAGTGGAACGCTGTGGGCCTCAGATTTAATACTCTGTTTAGGAGGTTGATGATGTCAGGCCAAAATAAATAGACTTTCAACGTCCAATTGACTTTATTACTGACCGGTTTCAGCTCACTGGTCATTCTCAAGGTCCTACAATCAACATTTCAGTCAGTTTTAAAGAATTTTTTACAAAAACAGTAAATCTGTACTCAAAAATACACTTGTATGTAGGTTTCAGAGTTTCAGAAAAACATTTTCTTTATCGTGCCAACGTTTCGATCTTTATTGAGATCATCTTCAGGGTCTGGAATTTACATTGTTTAAATTTAACAAATACATGTAAGATGTTGAAAAAAATGAATTTATACACAGCAAAAAATATTTTTTATATACAATAAAATTATTTTTACTCACTCAAAGTATTTGTTTTCTATATATATAATCTTTAAGCACTTATATAGTACTCTTTTATTAAAAAACTTAAACAAAAACAGGTAACGCCTCTTAGATACAGAGACACATCACAGTTATATCAGTCTGTTATGTAGACATAGTTTCAAGGTGTAAAATTTAAGTTTTGTATTGTTCGTTTTCCAGATGTCAGTGTAAACTTAGTTCGATCTTTAGATTTACTCTGAAATGAGTTTAGTTTAGTAGTTAAGGTTTTTAGTTGAGATGAAAAAAAGTTAATGGCACAAAAGGGATTCGAACCCACGAACTTCGGCTAGATACGCCGCTGCTCTACCACCTGAGCTATCGTGATCTCGATCCACTCGGACATCAACTCCCCATCTCAACCCCACCTTATGAGTTTTCCCTCCTTTTGCCATTTTTTCATCTCAACTAAAAACCTTAATTAATTGTCATGTATTAATTGGTCAAGCGGACCACGAAAATAGTGAATTTATTATTTAAAAATGAAGTACACTTCACTAAAGCTCTCCGTCGCCATTTCAATTGTCTTCGAGAATCCTAACCGATTACACGACATTTGAAAAATGGCAAAAGGAGGGAAAACTCATAAGGTGGGGTTGAGATGGGGAGTTGATGTCCGAGTGGATCGAGGTCACGATAGCTCAAGTGGTAGAGCAGCGGCGTATCTAGCCGAAGGTCGTGGGTTCGAATCCCTCTCGTGCCATTAACTTTTTTTCATCTCAACTAAAAACCTTAATTAATTGTCATGTATTAATTGGTCAAACGGACCACGAAAATAGTGAATTTAGTTTAGTATGTTTTAAAGTTTCTCTCGGAATAAGTTTTAGTTGATTTTCTTATGGTTTGAGGTCAGTTTTGACCACTTGGGTAAAACAATTTGCCCAAGAAGCATAAAGTAGATGTTAAAAAGGTTCTGTTTGAAAGTTTAAAGAATTGGTTTCATGCCCTTGTGACTATACAGCTTAGAACTTAATGAACTCTATTCGAATTCGGCCGGGTTAAATATTCGAAAAAGAGCGATCATAGATGACATCACAAACGATGGCAGGATCAACAGTTGGTCTTCTTCCCCCACCTGCGAGTCTCGTGCGGTTGTTATGGTCGACTCCTAAACAGTACAGTTGTATTTGTGTTTTATTTACGTTTTACAATGAGTGTGACTTGAGCCTGCTGAATTTAACATCGGGACGAAATTAAGATGAAATTTCACCCATCGTCGCCAAATCGTTACAAATTCCGAATAGCGGATTTATTATGGGCTGCAACAAACGCCTTTCCCTGTTGAGCATCTGCATTTCACAAGTGGTAAAGAAAAACTACAATAGTTTCCTATGTTGATAATTTTGTATTAATTAATATGTTTAAAATACACCTCACATAATGCTAAAGACAAAATTAAATACATAAAAATAAAATGAAAAGGGACACTTGTGTATATATTTCTTTTATAGTTTGCACTACTTTGCGATGGAACTTCACTATCTATTATTGTTTAGGTAAATTCAATAAACTTTTATTTCTTTTAGTTCTAGTAGTTTGAAAATTATTAAAATCTGCTGGAACTAAAATCTTTTTTAATTTACCTATACAGTAATACTTAGTGAAGTTCCATTGGAAAGAAGTGCAAACTATAAAAGAAATATTGAGATGTTGCTTGGCTGAGCAAGTAAAGTACGAGGATACATAAAAGCTTTTTGGATGTACATAAACATAATAATATGTAACGTGTATTTATAGGTATTAAGTAGTCAACTTAAAACGTAAACTCAACATTAATAACTTGTCATTTACCTTTATAGATTGTTACTAATCTTTTTACACTCTTTAGATTAAAAATAAAGAAAATTATTTCAATTTCATGACTTGTGCACTTTCCATACTTTCCAGTGAGTTAATTGGTTTTTTAAATTGTTTTCTTTTATGAAAGAATAAATTTTGTAAAAAATTATTTTTTTTCTTAAAAGCATGGTTTAAGTCGAGAAAGCCTCGGCCAGGCCAGTTGCTTTAGCCAATGACGGACATAGTGTGTTATTGCTCTGACATCACCAAGGAACTGTCATATAATGGTTTCTTTGGTAGGTAGTTAACGATCCATAAAAGTGGGTTTTGATTGCGTGCAAAAATTACTTGCACAACGCCGTCTCGGATTAACTATTTCCATGAGACGAAACAAGGTGAGCCATCTGTTTGTGTGAAACAAGCATGCCATTTGTGCCACAGCATTTGCTATCATGGCAGTACTTTTTGTCTTTGATGCTCATTTCCTTCCACACATCCTTTCTCTTGTTCTTGTTTTGATGAGTTTTATCTTTAGCATCCCACAAAAATTGGTAGCTGTGAAACATTTGGATAAGTCGAATGCAATCCTCCTGTTTGTGCTCAAACTCGAGACAAGTGCATTTACACGGAGAGGAACAAACAACGTGAAACTCTTTGATGTGCACTAAAAAATGGGCAGCCGGTCGGCTAACGTCAAAACATCTTCGCACCAAAAGTTTTCACAGTCTCGATTAAGTATTCACAATGCGAGACAAGCTTCACGAGTGATTTTCGTGTAGTGGAAACCCAGCTTAATGTAAGGGTGAACTTTAAAACATCAGAAGGCTTTGTGAGAATAGCCTAGTATCTAGATGTCCCGCATCAGGTTCTCTACTATTGGGTAGAAAGATCATATTCACAAATCTGCATGTTGCTTGGATATTTTAACAATGTGGGTCTGTTTTCTTCACATATGACTGCCGGTTTGGTTTGTGGCAATCAGATGACTGGGACATGTGCCATGCAAGACACAAAGCCTTTTCAAAGTCAGTCAAAACTGATTACCTTACAGAATGGATTTTGACCACACTTTGGTACATTTGGGATGGTCTTCTGGAAGCTGGGGTCCCATTTGCTTCTTTTATTGGGGACAACTTCATATTAATGCATAATTATGCTTACTACTTGTACCTTGAGTTGTCACCCATTACTTGGAGATTGAAGGGGATTTCGACAATGAATTGGCCAACACATACTCCTTACGTGAATTACATAGAACTCTTATGGGACATGATAAAGAGATGGGTTAGACATGGTTCACCACCTCCCACAAGCATTAAACAGCTACAAACTTCATATTACTTGTCAACCAGGTAGAACTAAAGATGAGGAAATGTGTAGAGGGTAGGATGCCCTTTAGTTTCTAGGTGCCAGACTTGATCAAAATTCCAGTTTTTAATTCTATATTTACTATATGTATAGTTGATCAATAAATACATTTTAAGTATGAATCCCTGTCCTTTATATTTTGTTTATTAAATTGCAAATTATTATTTTCTCTCATAAGGTGGCAACAGTTTGGAGGCAGATTTTTGACTTCCTTGGGTACATGTGGGGTCCCATTTTGGCCAACCTCTTCCAAATAATCTTCTCGATATTCGGGATATTTGGTTCTTGGCAGTACAAATCAAGTTATATTGCAGCTGTGAGTATTCTTCACTTGAGATAGGATGGTCAATTTTATTTTATTTTATTTTTCAGTATATGCTATGGACCTTGTTTTGGTTTGCTTGGAATTGCTTTATCACATGCTACTACCTTAACATTGGTATCTTAAATAAGGCGAGTACATTTTATCCAAAAATTTTAAATAAATTATATGTTTAATCAATGTAATCATAAAAAATACAAGGATGTTGGAGATTTTTTGTAAGAACAAGCGGTTTAATTTTTATTTTGGTTTTTAGGATTGGGATATTTTGAGCTTGGGTACTGGAAGCGTGAGCTGGTGGGAGGCAAACGGCCCAGGATGCAAGGCCTTGTTCCTCCCTAACCAATCAAACACAGACACCCAACCATGGCATCCTCTCAAACCTGATCTCATCACTGGGTGTGCAATCCCATACCACCATCTTGAGGCGGCTCAAGCTATAATACACGCAATCCTTGCAGTAAGAAATATTGGTTCTTGTATAGATAAATTTTCAGACAAAATATATACTTTTTGTGTTTGTTCTTTAGATTGTTGGCCTTTACCTAGGTTTCTCTGTAAATAGTACAATTAAAAATGGGGAAGAAGCAGGTAAGATTAGATTATATATTATCATCTGGTTAGTTCGGTTAATTCCAATAATTTTGGCCTTCCGATCCCCACTGCTTTGGCCTTTCTATACAGAGACCCATCATTAAAGATGGCAAGAAGCCAAAACATGTTTGACATACCAAAACAGCAGGATGGGAAGGCAAAAATAATAGAAAACAAAAATTTAATCAATAAGGATTGATGATTTTTTGTTTGATGTAATTTTTAGTGCCATCCAATTTTAAAAAGTCAAATACCACGCCTCTATTTCCCGTTGACTTGATGCCTAGACTACCAATTAATAACAGTGCTGGCACTGAATCTAGTGAAGGTATTTATTATCTATTTTCAATTTTATCCGAATAGTTCAGTATAATGAAAATTGCAGAGCCTGACAACCGCGCGGCCGGGGCAAAACCCATGACGCCAAGGAGAGTGAAACGGCGAAGTATATCGAGAGGGTCAATGCCTCCGCAGATGTACACTGGTACGAACGCTCCGATGAATTCATTCCCGAGGAGGCACAGCCACAGCAGGTCTTCAACAAGGTCTTCAGGACGACGGCCTAGGTCTAATCCAGTATCAAGACTTATTGATCAACAAGGTCAGTGTTTTGATCATCACACTCAAAAGACAGCCTATAGTTTGGGAGACATTGCTTGATCGTCTTTGATCATCTTGGTATTTTTATTCAAATTTTCATAATTTTCAGTGGTTGAAGTGTTGGTTCTGTCAGAAAAAAATCCAAGAATTAGTAAGCGAGGACGATCACCTCAATGATATTTCTCAATTTTAACAAATAATACTAAAATCAAAGGTTGCGATTGTTCAGAATTTATTTCATATTTTATCTTTATTGGTTTTCAGAGTCAGCGGCAAGAAGCATGGGCCACACGAATCTTATGTTCCAGCACAGCCCGGAAAACTCGTTCTCGTATGAACCTGAACGCCCACCGTCAGCTCGGTCGAGCTACTCCAATTATCACGGTACCAGGGCGCAATCGTACAGGCACAGTCACAACTTTCTTGTCTCTGGGCCTCCTGGCTACAGTTCACAGTCTGAAACTGCAATTTGATCTCAGAAGTTGATACCTTATAAATTTTAGTTGTCCAAATGAATTAAACAAGTCATTGATGTGATTGAAAGAAATGATAAGATTTGGGTCAATCTTATTTAGTGAACTTAATATCTTCAATACTCATAAGTCAACCAGAAATCTTGTAGCACACAACTCACAAACAAGAACTGGAGGATTAAAATAAATTTGTTAGTTTAGTTTGTTTAATGTTAAGAAAACTTGTCAAAGGGTGTTTTTATGTTATGTATATGGTCGCAAAGTCTATACAATTTTTTTTTGTACTTAATCAAGTCGGACAATTGCTAAATTAATGCAATGAATAGAATGAAACAACAAGAATATAACTTTACAACAGGGTTAATATATTTCTTAATATTTTTATTTTTACTTTTAAATTTAATTTCACTTACATCAGAGTAATTTTTATATTAAAAAAAAAGAAAAGAAAAAAGAATGGGATAAATTTATTAAAGATCTGTGATGTTATAGAGATAAAAGAGATTATTTAATGTTTTTGTAATAAAAGTTTAAAATCACTGCCAATATTTATATTTGACTGACCATTGAAACAACTCCGTCCAGCTAAGTTTAATATAGTTAAACGGGTAATCTAAACACATTATTTTATAATAAATTTATAAATTTTTTAAAATGTATAGTACCCGTTCATAATATCTAGACCATTTGTAGAAATGGTGGAAGTATGGTTTTTAGAATATATGAATTTTTTCCAAAGTGTACAAAGTTTGTCTTTCGTTGTAAATATAATTGTACAGCACATTTAGGAAAATAAATAGATCTGCTTGTAAAACCAAATAATTATTTTATTATATTATGAAATTTTTAGTTTTATTTTATAGTTAAAATATATTACAACATGTAGATCATAATGTAATTATATTAGAATAATTATTTAAATTCCTTATTAGTTCCTAATATTTTAATTTTTTCTATAAATATAAGAAGTCAACACCTTTTTGTTTGTTTAAAATGAAATAATTTTGAATTATTTAGAATCTTAGAAATATTGAGAATACAATTATTTAGAAGGAAAAATAACTAGCATACAAGTGAAGGACCTTGATAGCCAAATGGTCAGCTTGATAGACTCTAGGCCTTGTAGACACACACTGGGTTCGATTCACACCATCCCCCCCTGTCCTGCACCTAGAAAATTAAAGAAAAAAAATACAAGTACCTCATACATCACATTGTAAATAATCAAGTGTTAAGAGAAAGAGAAAAGAGGGGTCAATCTATTTATGATCTGTGCTTACGACCAGTATTGGTCTATTGTGCATGTTCTTATTATCTAGATCCTCATTAAGCTTAAGGCATTTTATCAAATCCCAAAGCTTTTTCAAGGACTCCTGTGTGTACCCTTCAGGCTCGGGCTTTTTCTCTCCCAGGAGTAGGAATCTTAACCTGCATAAGCCTTTGCACCAACAGAGGACATGTTTTGCTCTCTCCTGGCAATATCCACACAGATTTGTTTCTACCATACTAAGTCTAAGCATATGCTTTCGGAGTCTGCAGTGTTCTATTATCATTCTAGTCCTAACATGTCCAAGATTTAGTACTGATGTTAGTTTCTGCAATGATCCTATGATGAACTTTTCTTCATCCCTCTGTCCTTGGTTACTTGCAGTTCCATTGAAAAGAGGACTTATTTTTAACCCACTGTCTGATTGGTCCACTTTTTTTTGCATTTTGGTATGTAACAAAAGGGTTCAGGGCCATCGAACTTATTGGCCTCTTTGTGGCCCCTCTGCCCTGTGTTTCATCATCCCTAGACAAGGGTAATTTTGTTTTTCCTAAAGTCTAACAAGGCCCTAATGCAATCCCAAATGACTTGGGACTTTAGTACCAATGCGGTAATTCTTCTGTTGACAATACCTAGCCTTTTATTCACCTTGGCACAGTGTTCAATAGACACAGAACCTGCTTGAAAGACAGTGGTATATTGCCCAAGTCCTGACTTGATTGCAAATAGGCCACACTAGGCTGACACAATGTCATCTCTTATCTCTGTCTTGTCAAGTGTACAATTAATGTGAGTCAGATTCTATTAGAGTATGAAAAAAAAAAAAAATAGCATCACAGAACAAGGCATGGCTTGTCCCCAAACTCAAAGAGCTTCTGACAGTTGTTACAGTGAGTAATTGAAGGTGTATAAATATGCATATGGATGAATTTGAAGGCTGTTTTAAGTGTGGTTATTCCTTTATTGAGTGAATTTATTTATTAGCTTAAGTGTTTTGAGTAGGTGGGTGGGTTTGTGGCAAAATATCGAGTACCCCTCCCCCAGACTTACCAAAGTAGGTTTTAATGTAACTTGTGATGACCATTGAATATAATTGTGGTGTTCGTATCGGTGGTGATGGGAATATCGGTCAATGGTTGTTTTAGAAAGAAAACGACTTCGAATCTTTGCCGACGTTTCGATTTAATTCAAATCTTTATCAAGGCATTCTGTACATATACAGTATTACATTATTATTTATTATTACAGAATTACATATACAGGGTGAATTGCTACTCGTGCTACAAACTTCTCCAGTAGATTCTTCACCCTAAAATGAACAAAAAAGTTCATATTGTCCATGGTCCGATTCTCAACCATTTCAGAGTAATTTCGCTTTTTATCGATTTTGAAAGATATCACGTCCTGGCGTCGGAAAATCGTGATATCTTTTAATCTAAACATTTCTCTGAAAAT